CAATAAATTATTTTGTACTAAATGCCTGATGTGGTTCTAATGCACAACAAAGCAAATATTTTATGATTATCACATAAAACTTGATTTCAATATATGAGATATTCATTTTGTATTGAATGCTATTTATTCCATTTCATATCTAGATTATATTAAATATTATTCTAATGTAAAGGCAACCAACATACTATAGCTCATAAATCCGTGTCTGGAGAGTGTTGTGTGAGAGAAAAAAAAAATCACAGGACAGGTTAATTACTTTTGGAGGCTGGCTCAAATTATCATCAAAACAAAAATAAATGACAGATTAGGTGGATGAGGCCGAGGGTGAGAGAAAGAGAAAATGTCAGTATTTCATTGAGACTTGAGATTAAATAAACTGCTTAAGTATTCTTGTAGTATTAATTTTCACATGCAGTTACACATTGTCGGTTAAAAACAAGAAAGTGGCTGGTAAAAACATTGAGTGGCTGGTAGATTTTGAAATCCACCAGCCACAGTGGCCGGTGGACAAAAAAGTCAATTTCCATCCCTGCTGCAGACACACATTTATGTTCAAACACCATGTAAAAGTAAATTTTGCATAATAGGGTCCCCTTTAAATAACTATACATTATTTAAGCATATTCTCTTTGTTAAGATGTTGATATAGCAACCTTTCAAGTGTCAAGTAAGTTTCTTTCATAATGTTGCTAAAATAAAATAAAATAAAATAAAATGTTGCTAAAATAAAACTGGCTGTTCTCTGCAGTATGGCACAGCATCTGCACAACACGTGAAGCTAATTTCACTAATTTATTTTCCTAAAAGTAAACTTTCCTCTTCCATGATTTCATATCCACTTTAATTCTGTTTTAATTCATTATTATGACGATGTTTACAGACAATGCATTGATATTACTGTGAGACTTTTGCCAAACTGAATCCTTGGCAAGAGTTGAGAACATCTCACAGACAAAACGTAAAACGTGACATGCAGAGAGTAGAGGACTAAACTGCCTATTTTATGTGTTTAGCTTTGCTTTAAAGACATATCAGTGTACAGATTTATGCTTCCAGTATCCTGAAATATGGAAATAATTTTAACGTTTCAGCAGAGTAAAAACAAATCCTGCAGAAGCTGATGCATGTATTCTATTTGTTTCCTATGAACAGTGACGAACAAGGATCACATCGCCCCTGGGGAGAGGGGAGGATACAAGGACAGGTCAAGAGGTTGTGTGACAAAGACTAGCTGCTCTGCAGAGGAAACGGACAAAAACAGGAGCGCATCCTCTGTCTCATCCACTGAGGGATTCCTGTTCCACAGCAGCTGACAGCCTGGTTGTCACACGTCTCTCTGAATCAAGGATTCCATGGCCGAATGCATCCTCCCAGACTTCCAAAAGGTGGAAAATTAGGCATCAAGGCTTGGGTTATAGTAAAACTTTCCTAGTTGTAGACTATGTAGATTAATTTGTGGATTCTAGACTTATTAAGTGGCATTATTTATGATGAACAAATTTAATTCAGAATGTTAGCAACATAACACGTCACACGTACATAGAGCACATCAAATATTGGCAAATATGGCAAATGTTCAACAGTGCTTGCTTGATATGAGAACCAATGTGATTTGTTCTCTCATTTCATGAAATCACGTTTCAGATTAAGCAAGAACCAATGAGGTTTGGTGTGCTCTATATGTATGTGCATTAGGCTAACCAATGTTTATAATATATGTGAATAAAAGCCTAAATTAAATCGGTTTATTATCTAAAGTGATCATGTGTCTTCAGAAGACCAATCGATGCATTATGGATTCCTTTTTTTTGTTTTTATTAACCATTTGAAGTGTCAAAGTTTTCTGCGGCCTTTCAATAGAGGGACAGAAGTCTCTTTTAAAAGATAAAGAAAAGTCTTATGGGTTTGGAACAGTGTGAGAGTATAAGTAAAAGAAAGAAAGAATTTAAAAAGAAAGGAATTACATTTTGAGTGAACTATATCCTTTTAAAAAAACAAGCTCTGATTCCATTGCTGAAAATCAGTCCTACTGCTGTTAATGGTCACTATCAATGTCATCCCCAAACATGTATGAATTTCAGCACACATAAGACAAGCAATTTGGTTGATTTCACAACCACAAGAAAAACAAGCAAAAGCTAAAGAACTGGGCCCTTTCATGGTTATTTGCCTCGGGGACACAGCCAATTCTGTTTAAGATGACACTTGAAAGTCACTTTAAAGAATGATACTATGCCTTTCGAGAAACTTTTTCTGAAGAAAAAAAAATAATAATAAAACAAGCTTTTTGTAGAGTAATTATGAAATATTGTGAGGCATTTGACATGCCTTATAGTACACTATACAATATGTAGGGCATTAGCTTTTTTAAGTTTCATTAGAGTCCCAATTTGTTCTCTGCAGGGATTCTCTCGGTTCATGACCATGAGTTAACTGGCCAGTTTTGCTGTAAAATGCTGTTAGGTCACTGCATGGGCATCTGTATAGGAGACAATAATGTTAAAGTCAATTGAGCAGCGAGAACTGGTACAAAGCCAATCACTACAACATTAAGAAATACTCTGGACGTCCTGCTTCAGAAAGTCAAATGCCAGTGAAAAGTGAATCAAAGCATGCATGCATGCCAAGTTAAACTCTGCTAACATGGCAACCAACTGTTTCTATAATATTCAGCCATGCCAAAATTGGTGTCACATTATTTTGTTACCAACAAAACATAAGAAAACAGATAAATGTCATGTGTTAGACAGAAAAGTGACCAACAAAAGGGGCTTTCGCACCGGGCCGTAGTACCCGGTTTTTGGCGTGTTCGCACCACAGGAACTGGGAACGATTTTAGTTCTAGGAACGCCTTTTGGGGGGAACTAAATTAGCTCCTACTTCAGAGTAGGGTCTATCCCAGCACAGTATGAACTACCAGTGACGTTAGTGTACGCTGACTGGCTGAAGGCACGTGAAACACCAGCACCCGTCATTTTTACAAAAGCTGTGTACACACAGATTATAGCCTATTTATTTACTCCACACTCTTACTCGTAGGTTAAACTCTACGAACATGGAAAACAGCAGATGGACCTCTCAAACTTTATGCTAAGGAGAATATCCAATGCAACTTTGAGGGGACCACCAAGCATAACATTTTTAATAATAACATGATTTAATAATAACGTTTGATCACTTAAATTCACATTATTTTATTTTATTTTATTGAAATAGATGTAAGAGCTGAATTACTATTCATTCAGGTCACTTTAATTAAAATTGCAGGGTAACGCAGCACTGTTGGTGAAAACAATCATACTAAAAATACATTTGAATGTGTTGACAATTGCGTTACAACATTACTGTGCGTTATCTCGTGGCTAGTAGGAGACATTTGTTGCACACTGCAGTAAGCTAGATATTAGAATATCATATTAATAAAAAAAAGTGCTGTCTGATTTACTTTTTGAGTTCAAACATGTTACTCGCGGTGAATAAAAAAACCCATAAAATTCAAACAATAAGACTAACCATGTTGAGCTATATAACAATGATTTGTTTTCTATCGACAAAGGTATCCAAACATTTGCTCTCCTGTCTAATAAAACACATAGGCTAATATATTAAAGTGTCTTTGGTGTTTCCATGGTTTCTACAAAGTAAAACTGGTTAAAATTGCTGCTTTCTCTGGATTTAAACATTGTTGTAAACATTTGGGATAAAGTACACAAGTCAACAAAAAATATATAGCTAACATTGTTGTAGTGTTTTTTTTGGATATTTTAATCCAAAAATCTTACATATTGTGCCTTTAAGTACAGACACCAATTGAACATGATACCTGCTGAATGGCAGCACTTAAAATTACAAAACAAAACGGAACAAAACAGCAGACAAAACTGATAAAAAAAACAACAACATTTAATTGTTATTCTTGTCTTACTCCTGAGGGAAACTCCTGAGTTACCTAAATCAACCTCTCCCAATGGTTGGTTAATCTAAAATCATGTTATTATTGGTTGTAGGTGATTGCTTTATGTTTCCTATGTTTTAAGCCAAATAAAACTAAGCTAACCAAGCTGTGATTATTATGTGGGCAGTGGATGTGTGGGCTTATGTACCATGAGCCTGCCTTGCAGCCCGGCACATATCTTAATTTAGCCATATTTACAGTTCAGCAAGCATTATCTGGAAGCTGTGACAAAACAAAACTGTGCATCATGCATAGGATTGAAAAAAGAAAGAGGAATTAACCACAATAATCTTAAAGAAACATTCAGACAAAATTTGCTTCAGCATAAAACCATCAAGCACCTAAAAACGTTGCTCCTTCTTTTTCATTTTGTACTGATATCAGCAGAACAAATACTCATTTTAAAGATAAGTCTACCCAGACACTGCAGATCCGTAATAATTCAAACAAGTCCAAAAAAGGCCTGAACATCCAAGCGCAATACGCAAGCTTTATTTTTAGCCAATTTGTTCTGTCCAGTCCTAAACTCTAGAAAAATTAGTGCATAAATGGGAAGGGACATAAAATGTTTACAATAGGCCTTACACGTGGAGGGTCACATGACAGAGGTGATAACAGATGAAGATGCAAAACTGCTGATGTAACTGAAAATTAACCCAGTAATGTGGCCTTTTAACTATGTAAACAGATCAAAAAGCAGACCTTTAGGACACCTGATGATCTGCACATAGTTCATGTAAATCATACCTCACGAAAACTGGATGAGGTCAGCAAATCTTATGCCACGCAAGCTAATTTCACCAAATGAACCAATTTTACTCTCCAGACCAGCAACTACTCTAGCCAGGTATCGCGCATAAGTGGAAATAGGAATGACATGGTGACCTTGACAGAAGAAAAAAAAACTGCCTAACTGTTTTGGGTTAATGATATATTACCTATTATATTCAAGTTACATAGACTGGACCACATGTTGACTGAATGAAGCTATTTCATTTAAAGCACACACTAACAAGTTTTAGAGATAAAATGACTTGACACTTACGTTTTGTGGCATTGATGAGATTCTTTCCATCCTTATATAGCTCTTTGATAAATCTGCCGGTTTTGTCCAGCTCTGCTTCATGAGCTTTGATTTTGTCTCTGAAAGCAGGACTGTCCAGGTAACACTCACTGAACTCCAACGGGTGTAAACCCATTTTTACTGGATTCAGCTAGTTTACTGACTAGCTAGCGTTTAAATCCCGTTAGAAAGCGACCAACGAATGAATAAAAACTGGGTCAAACGAATAAACAAAATTAAAAATGAACGCAAAGCTGTAGTAAAAAGGATCTACCAACGCGTCCTCGTATATTTTAGCAAGACCAAGCGCGTCGGGACTTCTCTTGGTAATAAAACTCTTTACAAGTCGCACAAGTAAACTTGTTCCTGGGTATATTAAGTAAGTCCCAGAATTAAACCCCCGCAATATAAGATAAAACAGTTATACGCTACACGGATATCTGTTGAAATAAAGGTAATAATGTCCAGTCAGGTTTTTGGTCCGCGAATGACAGTCGAGCTCCTCCCGCCGCGTGGACTCGGGGCTTTTTTTTTGACTGCACGTCATCACGCTTGGCTCTCTGGAAAACGGAGATATTTTTGAGAATATTGGGACGCGGGGAGTGTTATTGTAGAAATTGACATCTGTTCCAGGTGTATAAATCGTTCAGCATAAGTATCAGATTTTGGGTTTCTAGGAAAAAAAAACTATTAATACGATAATACTAATGGGCTGGGCAGAGTCAGTAAATCTTACGTGGAACTCGAAAATAGCGGATGTTGTTTCCGTCCGCCTGGTTGTACTGAACGGACCTGCAGTACAGGAGCAGATCTTCAGTACTATTAGCTCTCATCTAGAGATAAAGCAATATACAAATATGTTTTAAGCGCAGTTTGGGGTTTAATTACAGCGATAGGCTGGAGTCGCAGAGACATTGATAAATATACAGCCCCGTGATCTCAACTAGCAAGCCTGAAGAAGGTAAATAGAATCATACATCAGCCTTTACCTTTTCAATCCAAATTTTGAACGTTACAAATAATGCTGTAAAAATGTTAAATTATTATTAAATTATTTAAATAGCAAAATGCAATAATTCTGGTTTCTTATTTCGGTGGGGGAAATTATATTGGTTGTTACTCTGATTTATGAAAATCTTTTCTGTTGTAACCACATCACATTTGCTACATCTACTGAATCTACACATTTTTGGAATGAACAGATTTGTCTGATTCAATATGAATAATAATAATCTTAATAATTAGTCATTTTGATTATATTATATTATCCTTTCATGAGTAAATATATGCTCAAACACAGATGTGTTACATTTTACACTAAAGCATTTGTATATTTAACAATGATGGAATACCCCATTTCATGTCTATTTTTCAGGTTTTTCAACTTTAGCAAGTGATATAAGCTCTGCCATTCACAGAAAATATGCCTAATGCCACTACAAGACCAAAGAGGACGAGGCGTCATAGACGAACCCAGAGAGAAGATGCTGCGAGAAATGAGCTGGTGTCTAGATCATTGGAAAGTGCTCAGCAGTGTCTGTTCAGTCAGGACTATGGCACTGCTTTTGTTCACTATCTTTTGGCTCTAAACCTTGCCCCAGCTCTAAGAGACTTTGCAAATGTAAGCTTGATTTATGTATTTAGTATTATTATTATTATTCCATGTTTTCATGCCTGATTCCTGCAGCAATGTACGGTGGAATGATTAAGTTATTCAGGCTTCAGAACCTCTTTTGCAAAATCTGTAAATGTTTTTTTTTTTTTTTTTTTTTTTTTTTTTTTTTTCAGGAGTCCTTCAGATTCACTCTGTTTAAATGGGCTGATGAGCTGGACTCTCTTGGACGCATCCAGGACCTCTTTGATTGCTATGAACAAGCTATGGAATTGTTTCCAGTGGATGAGGTTATAGTGAACAGTATGGGAGAGCATCTCTTCAGGTTATTTATTTATTTATTTAGTGGTCTTTGTGAACTAAGAAAAGTCACATTTATCTCATTAAGATGGGCTCAGTGGTTCATGTAGGTTGTCTACAAACTGGAAGGTTGGTGGTTCAATCCCCGGTTGCACCTGACCAAGTGTCGAGGTGTCTATGAGCAAGACCCCTAACCCCAGCTGATCCCGACGAGCTGGATGGCGCCTTGCATGGCTGACACTGCCGTCGGTGTATGAATGAGTGAGTGAATGGGTGAATGTGAGGCAATATGTAAAACGTAACGGTGGCCATTGGGTCTGTGAAAGCGCTATATAAATGCAGTCCATTTACCAAGATTATGTAATCATGTCTTATTTATACATGTATAATGCATACACTACCATTCTAAAATATAGGGTTCTCAAATAGGCTATATTTGAACACTTTAGAAAGAGGACTCTAATTACAAGTAATTAACCCTAAACCAAACCCTAACTGTATAGTAAGTAGTACATGTAGTTAATTAATATTACTCAGTACTTGAGTAAGTACAATGCAACTATGTCACCTTAAATTAAAGTGTAACTTCATTCTAATATGCTGATTTGGTTCTCTAGAAATATTATTATTATTATAAATGTTGAAAACAGTTGTTCCGCTAAATATTTTTGGTAACCGAGATACTTTTTTTTTATGAATAGAATTTTTAAAATTTTAATACGAAAATGTAATTTCTTATTAATTGAAATGTAATTTAGTTTATAGAAATAGAAACTTGATTAATTTATTTGGAATATATATATATATATATATATATATATATATATATATATATATATATATATATATATACACACACATATAAACTTTTTTTTTGTAACAGAAACATCCTTAAAGAATAAAAGTATTTATTTCAGAAAAATACAAATATAAAACTTACTGACCCCAAACATTTGAATGGTGGACTGTGTTGTTCATTTACAAACATAGTCAATCGTTGTATTGGGTTCTTTTGTTTCAGAATGGGATTTCGGGATGAGGCTGCTGGGCATTTTTACAAAGCCCTTAAACTCCGACCAGACTTCCCAGAGGCGAAGGAGAACTTTTACCGTGTTGCAAACTGGTTGGTGGAACGTTGGCACTTCTTAATGCTCAACGACCATGGGCGGAACCACAAGTACCAGTTGGCTATTAAGAAAGCTGTTGAGGGAGGATGCAGCTCCGTTCTGGACATCGGAACTGGCACCGGCATCCTTGGGTAAGATTTTTCAGAAACTATTACATAACATTGTTATTTAACAAACGTCTGCTACAACTGATATACAGTGGTGAGAGTGGTTTGACGCTGTTCGGTTGGTATGTTAGAATGTGTGCAAAGATGGCAGGCGCTGCTGAGGTCTATGCCTGTGAGCTGTCAAAGACAATGTATGAGCTGGCATGCGAGGTGCTCTCAGCCAATGGGATGGCAGATAGCATCAAGATTGTTCACTTGAAGTCTCTGGACATGGAAATTCCAAAAGACATTCCAAATAGGTAAAGAATCTCTTTATACAGTTAACCAGATCCGTATTGACATGGTTTTAAGCTGGAAAAATAGCAATCTGTGTTTTTTGCAAACATAAGTCAGATTTTTAAACGTTTTTGAAAGAAGCCTCTTATGCTCACTAAGGCTACATTTATATGATCAAAAATACAGTAAAATAGTAATATTGTGAAATATTATTAGAATTTAAAATAACTGTTTTCTGTTTTAATGAATTTTAAAATGTAGTCTATTCCTGTTGTGGCAAAGTTGAATTTTCAGCATCATTACTTCAGTCTTCAGTGTCACATGATCCTTCAGAAATCATACTTAAATGCTGATTTGCTGCTCAAGAAATTTTCAAACTCAGAAAGTTTCAATGTTGAAACCATTTTTGATTATATTTTTGTGGAAACTGTGCTACATTTTAATTTTCAGGATTGTTTGATGAAAATAACGTTTTTACAATTTAATGTGAAAAAAAAATAATCATACTGACCCATACATTTTCCAAACTTGTAACTTTTACCAAATTGTAAATTAAATACTAAGAATCTTATGTATTATGTGTAAAATATTGCATTGACGAAAAGCAAATTCTGACTGACTTATTTGAATTTAAAGTAAAAAAATAAAATAAAAATCTGGCTGCAGAGTGCATTGCATTTTTGTTTTAATTAAACTTTTCAATGATATAAACAGTTCACTATGGTACCCATTGAAGATAACAAGAGTGTGTTGACCTGTATTATATTCCTTTCATTAGAGTGTCTCTGGTTGTAACAGAGACAGTAGATGCAGGGCTGTTTGGTGAGGGCATCATTGAGAGTCTGATCCATGCATGGAAGCACCTACTGTTACCTCCACCTGTAAGTCAGTTTCTCAGTGATTTCACTATATGTATGCAGTATTGATTGTTCTGATCAGCAAACCTGCAGTGGGGTCACATGATGCCTCAAACTAAACTCTGATTATAGTGTAATCCTTTTATACAAATGACTTTATCTTGTCTGATCCAATGTTTATCCGGCCATGGTCAGAGACTAAGAGATTTTTGTCTCTGTCTCTCTTAATGGCAATCTTGGCAAAAAAAGAAAAAAATCATACTTTGCTGTCCTAGAACTAGATTATTTATTCTAAATCCTTACTTTAAATATGTTAAGCTTTTTCAGTATCATTATCAGAGATTTAGCCAACAGGGACACCTAGTGACTACCCGAGATACATGCATTTGTTTTAACATGTTTGTGAATCTGTTTTAAAATCAACATGGTACCATAACAGAGCTCAACAATAAGGATTTTAATGAGCTCTTCCACTGATCCAAAAATTGATTATGGGAGCATCTGTCAATTTTTTTCCCAGAATTGTGAGATATAAACCGGCAATCGCGAGAAATAAAGTCTAAAGATATTAACTCGCAATTCTGACCTTTTCCCCCTGCGCAATTCTTTTCTCAGGAAAAAATACTGACCCTGAGAATTAAGTGTTTATATTAAGCAATTCTGAAAAAAAAAAATCAAAATTGCGAATTTATATCATGCAATTCTTAGAAAATTCTCAGAATCGTGAAATGTGAAAACACAATTGGGAGATAAAAAAGTCAGAATGGTGAGAGAAATAGTCGCAATTTTCTTTTTTTCTCGTGGCGGAAGCAAGCTTCCATAATTGATACATGTTGTTAATATTACATTTTGTTTCAAATATATATATATATGGTCACACTTTAGTTTACGGTTCAACTACGACTTTTGCCAAATTACTGCTTATTAATAGTTAGTAAGGTCGTTGTTAAGTTTAGGTATTCGGCAGGATTAAGGGATGTAGAATATGGTCATGCAGAATCAGGCATTAATATGTGCTTGATAAGAACTAATAAACAGCCAATATCCTAGTAATATGCATGCTAACAAGCAACTAGTAGTGAGAATTGGACCCTAATTTCATACACTTTGGACTTAAAAGAAAAACATTAGTGATTCATCATTTTCAACTCATTCCAACTAATTATTAAATCATCTCAACAGAACTTTCGAGAACCCCTGTCCAGTCCCTCACAAACGGGCCGGGTAATACCTGCCAGCGCAACTGTGTTTGGAGTCGCTGTGCAGTGCCATGAGATCCGGAGACACCACAGGTGAGTGACTAAAGCTGCTCATGCATGAACGACACGTTGTGAATGTCTAAAGTTGATATTACATTACTTTTTAAACGGTTAAAAAGAAAAATATAAAAACTGTTATCAAAGAAGCAGGCTCTAGAGAGTATGATCTTAGAAAGAATACAATGAATATTCAGTGGCTGAATTACTAAAAGCATTGCACATCTTAACCATCCACTCAACCCTCTGCAGGCTGAGTGTGTCTTCATTGGGAGGCTTGGATCTGTCTGTTGTAGGACAGATATATAGTCCTGTTAGCTGTTTTGCTGATACTGAGGACAGCACAGAGCCCTACACCACTGAAAGACTGAGCCGCCTGCGTGGAGGATACATTCAGCTCACACAGCCTTTCACAGCTTTGGACATAGACTTCAATAATGTGCAGGTATTGAACTCAGTCAACATATAGAGACATGTATTTAGCAGTAGGGTGTTGAACACAAATTTTCTTTTAATAAAACAAATCTCAAACAGGTCACAATGTTGTTGAAAGAAATTAACACTTTTATTCAGCAAGGATGCATTAAACTGATCAAAAGTGACAGTAACAACACTTACAATGTTATAAAAGAATTAAAATAAATCAAAATAAATGCTGTTCTTTTGAACTTTCTATTCACTAAAGAAACATGGAAATGGTGTCCCTAAAAATATTAAGCATCACACAACTGTTTTCAACATTGATTTTATATATACAGGTCCTTCTAAAAAAATTAGCATATTGTGATAGTTAATAATTATTTTCCATAATGTAATGATAAAAATTAAACTTTCATATATTTTAGATTCATTGCACACCAACTGAAATATTTCAGGTCTTTTATTGTTTTAATACTGATGATTTTGGCATACAGCTCATGAAAACCCAAAATTCCTGTCTAAAAAAATTAGCATATTTCATCCGACCAATAAAATAAGTGTTTTTAATACAAAAAAAAAAGTCAACATTCGAATAATTATGTTCAGTTATGCACTCAATACTTGGTCAGGAATCCTTTTGCAGAAATGACTGCTTCAATGCGTCGTGGCATGGAGGCAATGCTGGCCTGTGGCACTGCTGAGGTGTTATGGAGGCCCAGGATGCTTCGATAGCGGCCTTAAGCTCATCCAGAGTGTTGGGTCTTGCGTCTCTCAACTTTCTTTTCACAATATCCCACAGATTCTCTATGGGGTTCAGGTCAGGAGAGTTGGCAGGCCAATTGAGCACAGCAATACCATGGTCAGTAAATCATTTACCAGTGGTTTTGGCACTGTGAGCAGGTGCCAAGTCGTGCTGAAAAATGAAATCTTCATCTCCATAAAGCTTTTCAGCAGATGGAAGCATGAAGTGCTCCAAAATCTCCTGATAGCTAGCTGCATTGACCCTGCCCTTGATAAAACACAGTGCACCAAAACCAGCAGCTGACATGGCACCCCAGACCATCACTGACTGTGGGTACTTGACAATGGACTTCAGGCATTTTGGCATTTCCTTCTTCCCAGTCTTCCTCCAGACTCTGGCACCTTGATTTCCGAATGACATGCAAAACTGAGCAACAGTCCAGTGCTGCTTCTCTGTAGCCCAGGTCAGGCGCTTCTGCCGCTGTTTCTGGTTCAAAAGTGGCTTGACCTGGGGAATGCGGCACCTGTAGCCCATTTCCTGCACACGACTGTGCACGGTGGCTCTGAATGTTTCTACTCCAGACTCAGTCCACTGCTTCCGCAGGTCCCCCAAGGTCTGGAATCGATCCTTCTCCACAATCTTCCTCAGGGTTCGGTCACCTCTTCTCGTTGTGCAGCGTTTTTTTGCCACACTTTTTCCTTCCCACAGACTTCCCACTGAGGTGCCTTGATACAGCACTCTGGGAACAGCCTATTTGTTCAGAAATTTCTTTCCGTCTTACCCTCTTGCTTGAGGGTGTCAATGATGGCCTTCTGGACAGCAGTCAGGTCGGCAGTCTAACCCATGATTGCGGTTTTGAGTAATGAAACAGGCTGGGAGTTTTTAAAAGCCTCAGGAATCTTTTGCAGGTGTTTAGAGTTAATTAGTTGATTCAGATGATTAGGTTAATAGCTCGTTTATAGACCCTTTTCATGATATGCTAATTTTTTGAGACAGGAATTTTGGGTTTTCATGAGCTATATGCCAAAATCATCAGGATTAAAACAATAAAAGACCTGAAATATTTCAGTTGGTGTGCAATGAATCTAAAATATATGAAAGTTTAATTTTTATCATTACATTATGGAAAATAATGAACTTTATCACAATATGCTAATTTTTTGAGAAGGACCTGTATATATATATATATATATATATACACACACATACTGTATATATATATATATATATATATTGGGCAGCAAATCGGCATAATAGAAAGATTTTGAAGGATCATGTGACACTGAAAACTGGAGTAATGATGCTGAAAATTCAGCTTTGCCATCACAGGAATAAATTACACTTTAAAACATATTCACATAGAAACCATTAGGCAAATGGTAGAGAAACGACACTACTGAAATACCTAAAGTGAAATGAGCATAGTAAGAGGTCCTGTGTTTCAGGAGCTGGAGGGTCTTTGCTCCAGAGAGGTGATGCAGATGCGGCTGTGTGTGACTCGGGAGGGCATTCTTGATGCTCTGGCAGTATGGTTTCAGCTACACCTGGACCAGGACAACCACCTGTCCACTGGCCCACAGGAAGACACATGCTGGGAGCAGGCCATTTATCCAGTGCAGACTCCATTCAGTAAGAACTGCTGCCTATCAATTGAAAAAATTGAGAATATTGTAAAGAGGACCATGACTCTAGACCATTGGTTTTGAAGCCTTTTTATAATAATTCTCTACTTTAATTGGTTAAACCTTGAACTTTGAATAACATTTAGCTCTAAAACGTTTGGCATCCTAAAATGTAATTATTCTAATTTTAATTATAATTATTTTAATTATTTATTTTAATCTAGGCTATATCTGGGACCTTTGCATATTGTTGTGGACAATGGGCTGCATTGGAGTGAAAAAAGGTTGAGAACCACTGCTCTAGAACTAGTCGCTTTAATGAGTTTCTTAATGCATTAATGACAGAACCCTTTCCTAAAGAACAGGAAGTAGTCTCACTAATTGCACATTAGCAGCAATTTACCCTTCAATATTGGTTCAATTAGGACATTTAAGTACGTTTTATAAACATGCCTAAGAAAAAAACAAAAGCATTACTGGTGTGCATCTTGAGACAAAACAGTGACACTGACATATTTTAAAATATATAAGTGCAAGTTGCTTACAGTTAAAACGGCTCAAACATCTGTTTTAGTCTGGAACTAGCTTAACACTTATCTGTGAAACCAGGGGATAGTGTTCAGTCCTATTTAGTGAAGAAGATTAAAGGTTTGTCTACAGCCAGTTCTAATGTCAATCAATTTTTAAAATAGAAATAGGTGTGTTTGACTTGAAGTGGCGCTGCACAGATCAATCGGTGTGTGACATCAAAGTACCACGAGAGCGATTAGACAGCAGACGGCTCCGCATGCTTTCGAATCGCTCTCACTGTACTTTGATGTCATACATCGATCGGTCTATGCAGCGCAACTAAGTCAAACGCACCTAATGAATGGACTTTAATTCATGTTGTCCCTTATTATGAGTATTGTAAATTTGAATACTCTTGAGTTTGCCATGAATATAGCATTTGATGGTGGTATGGCGTTAAATAAATAAATCAATTCATGTCGTCCCTCAGACACTGTGAAATGTGGTGATGAAATACTGGTGGAAGTTTCCTGTAAGGACTCTTATCTGAGGCTGTGCTGCATTGCTATCGTAAGAGACGGACACACATTTCAAATGGACAATGCAACTAAAGGACCTTCCAAAATCCTCAATGCAAACCCTGAGTCAGAGCTGTGCAGTGCTCTGGCTGGCCTTCAAACCACCCAGGAGAAACCTTATCGCGCTTTTATGCTGGAGTCCTCAGAGATCGCCCTCCTCAATAACACGGCGTATCATAACAGCTTCCAGAAGGCCATGAGCAAACTTTTGGTTTCTCTAAAGTCGACTCGGAGGTCACAGGAGTCAGACACAGAACTTGACCCAATCTATGTGCTTGATGTCTCTGAGGGCTTTTCTGTGCTCTCCTTGATGGCAGCCCATTTAGACTCCGATTCAAGTGAAGATAAACAAAACAGCTCTAGATTGGTTCAAGCCTACAGCTCAGTTGAGAAGGAACATCACCAGACTATGCTGAGACTGCTGGCCAAAGAAAATGGTGTGCTTGAAAGTGCACTAGAGTTCTGGTTGAGTCATGTAGAGGACGATTCTTCAGTTCTTCAGCGGCCATCCATCGAGAAGCTCTGGAGCGCCATCATACTAGACTGCATAGAGACTTGTGGCCTTATTAGACAGAAACTGTTGGAGAAAGCAACGTTAGCTAGGTAAGAGTGTAACACATACTATGGTTAGTTATTTTCTTTAGGTTGGCTTACAGTTCTTCTTGTAAACATTTCAGGTGCTTGTTGGAGGACGGTGGACAGATTTTTCCAGAGCGCATTGTGATCCACGGTATGCTTGTTGAGTCAGACACGCTGCTTCTGGAAAGCGCTGTTCAGGGAAGAGAGCCGACTCTTGGGTTCAACATCGCTCCATTCATCAATCAATTCACAGTATGTTCTTTAATAGCTCTGTGAATACTGTGCTCACTATTCATATCTTGTCTTTGTGTATGAGGTGGTCCCATATTTGCTCTGAAATGTTCTCTGGTATTTTGACGTTCAATGTAATGCAGACTTTGTTTGTTCACACTGCAACCAAATCTGATTTAGTATACAAATCTAATTTACAAACCAAGTGTATATATAGGGTTAGGGTTAGAACCGATGTTAGACAAGATGTTATGATGGAGATGAACAAAGCCAACCCTAAAATGGAAATGTTGGCTTTGTTCATCTCCATCATAACATCTTGTCTTTGTGCAGAATTTGAAGTGCATGACATTAGCATCAGATTCATTAATTATTAATCATAAGATTTTATTAATTATTTCATATTCAGTTTTGCCATCACAGGAATGCATTACATTTTAAAATATAATCAAAGATAATCGTTATTTTAAACTCTACAAATATTTCACAATTGTTGTTTACAATTATTTTTCACAAATATATTAATTTGTTTTAGTGTCAAATGCAGGCAGCCTTGGTGAGCATAAGGGACTTCTTTCAAAAATACCATTAGGCCATGACTGCCCCCGATTGTGTAATGTTTGCATTCAGTTTGCTCGACTTGACTTTGACCTGCAAACTCAAGGGCACATTCTAGTGCAGATGCCAAAATGGGGTATTTGCTGTTTTTTTTTTTTTTTTTTTTTTTTTAGGTTTTATTGAATTGAATCTCAGTGTGCATGTTAAATTTGCCACCTTTGGCACCAAAATGACCAGAAACAACCCTGCTTTGTGGTTTATTGTAAAGCTGATTTATGGAATATTGTCCAATCAATGCCATATTTCCTTAACAGAAACAACATGTTTATGTCATACAATTAGTGAGATATGAAAGATTATTAGCTTATCAAAGATCTAATTTTCCATTTCATGCCATATTCTATTAAAGCTGTGTATGGACTGGGATGTTCTGATAATTCAGCACTGATAAGAAATTCAATAACGTACATGATGTGGTTTTCTGTAAATTTGATAAAATATCTCTGTAATGTGTGTTTTCTCCCTCAGGTACCTGTTCATATGTTTCTGGACCTGTCCACCCTTGAATGTACACATCTTAGTGAACCAGTAGAACTCTTCGCACTAGACCTCATGAACAACACTGCCAATTACACCGACAAAGAAGTCAAAGTGAGTTTTTGGTTCTGGTTCTTTTCTATCCCTCTATTAGTGTTGTTATTTTTAACTGAAATAATTTTTATTAATTGAAATAAAATAAAATACGAAATATTGGATTGGTAAAATTACTAAAACTTTAAACTAAAATGAAAAAAAAATAGTTCTGTATATTTATAAATTAATTTGCATTCCTCATCATTGTGATTTATGGATAAAGATCTTTAAAAAAAGTATTTTTTATACCAATACTTTTTTTCTCACAATTTATACCAGATAAAATATCTTGGAGAATATTAATAAATTCTAAAATTTCCTAAGTCATTTTTTTTTTTTTAAATGAATTTATATGACTTTTCCAAGTCTAGAAAAAGTTGGGGGACCAAGCGAACCCTGTGTCTTCAGAGGAAACAGTTGTTGAGGGGGTGAATTAAAACAAGAAACATATTGATACTTGGTTGTTGTAGCTTATTTTAAAACTTAATAAACTTAAACTGTGTTTATCTAATTGTAAGTCATTTTGAGTCCCCCTATAGGCCCCATAACGTCCTATTAAGGTGCTTTTTATTCTTTTGCATTTGTTAGGTGCAGGTCAGCACCTCGGGCAAGGTGACTGCTATTCCCTTCTGGTACCAGATCCATCTGGACTCTGACCAGAGCGTCAGCACCTTCAGTGAGGACTCTCACTGGAAGCAGGCGGCGGTGGTCCTCCAGCAACCCCTGGCGGTCAGCAGAGGAGAGTGGGTCCGCCTCAGCATCCGGCTCCACAAGAGCAGCATATCCATTACAGCTGTTAAACAGGAATAGGGGGGCTGATGATGTCATCACCAGGCAGGCAGAGCCTGTGACGTGATCTCATGATGGGAGGGATTCTGTACCGATATATAGTTTAACATACTCCTACATCTACTGCTAATGGGCAATTATTTAATTGCTGTACGGTAAACAAAGTTATTGTTTTTAGCAACAGAACACATTTTACATTAAAATAATTTCACCATGACTGTGTAGCTTGATGATTCTTGTAGGTATGTTTAAAAGGAAAGTTCACCCCTAAATGATTTGAAATAATTTACTTACCCTCATGTTGTTCCAAATCTGTATGACTTTCTTACTTATGTGAAACAAAAGATATTTTGAGAAATGTCTCAGCGTTTTTATTTTTATTTTTTTGTCTGTAGAATAGAAGTCGGTGGAAACCAAAATTATTTGGTTACCAATATTCTTCTTTCGCAGAAGAAAGTAACTCAAACGGGTTTGGAATGACATGGGAGTTAGTAAATGACAATTTCTGTGTGAAGTATCCATTTGAATTGGGATTACTCAGAACAGAAATACTCAATACACATTTCCATGTTAAGTTTAATTATTTGTGACAACCACTGTTAGATAAGGCAATGCAACAGCAGTACAAACCATTGCAGAATATGCATCTCTGAATGAAACCGAGACATATGACAGTTCATAAAAACAATTAAATGGGATTTCCCACAGGTCCATATCTGTAATGATTAAACAATTATCCTGTGCTGTTATGCTATATATCTGATATTTATAGCTCATGTGCAGCTAATGTTGTTTACTAACAGACTGACACCCAATACTAACAAAGAAAAAGATGATTTCTTAAAGGGAAGATTCCCCCAAAAATGAAAATTCTGTCATCAATTACTCACCCCCATGTCATGAGGAAAAATTAGGTTTGTTTCTCATGTTTTATTAAAAAAACATTTTCAGTTGTGAAAGAATTCAATGATGGAAGAAAGTGACATGAGAGAAAGTAAATGTTGACCGTTTTTATTTTTGGTCAAACTGTCCCTTTAATAGCAATAAGACAGCTTTGGCTGATATTTAAACATTGCATCATTCCCGAGGTTAACTTAAAAAGTCAATATTCAACATTTTCAATACTTTTCAAAGTAAGGTTTTAAACAATTGTCTTTGTCTAGCCATTAAAACAACCAAAAATAAAATGTATATATTTTTTGTTTCTAATTACTAATTTCCGACAAAATAAAGAAAAATTAAATCTGCATTTATGTTTTGATGCAATTGCATGAAGCTGTTTAGAAGGCAAGCAGTCCAAGAAAATAACTCAAATCTCTGAAAAGAACTGAGCAAAGATATGAGTGTTTCAGTACTTTGTGCTTAAAAGCTGATGTACAGTCAAAACTGTAGTTGCTTTAACGCATGCATATATTCTGTTTCAAATCTTAATGGCATCCTGGTAATTTCATATTACTGTCCATGATCAAGGTGCTGCTCCTCAAAAAAAGAAGTAAAAAGTAAAAGTATTTGCATTAACATCAAATTATTTAGTGAAAGTAACACTAATGATAAAAAAGGTGTAAAAATTACTTGCTACCCAAATCCAGGAGAAAGTCAACGAAATTGTGAAGTAGCATTATAAATACATAGTGTTTCTTAGAGTAAACATTCATAAAGCTGTCTTAAAAGAACCGTTAACTGATTATTACATTTTAAAACTGGTATTGGGGAATTACTGTGCTTGACTTTAAGGTCAGTTTATAATATGGTCATGTTTCCAGCAAAATAATTGCAAAACGGAGATAAAAACAGCGGACCAACCAAGTCCTTTATATACGCTCTTGCTACCAAAGCTTCACCGAGCCTCTCTGAACACATATTAGCCACAGCTATCCAGTAGTTAGCAGAGTTAACGGTAGCTAGATTGATTGATGTGCTTTGAATATAAAAGCGTTGGTAGCTGATGCTAAGTAATCTCCGGATAGTCTGAACACTCTTGCTCTGTACAATCGCCAGATATCACAGTTGGCGGGATGTCATCCACATCTCCTTCCCATGGTATGCAGCCAAGGTTTGCAGGAGCAGAGATGGAGTGAGGGGTTACAGTGTGACCCATGCCCTGGTAACAGCCCTTGGGGGATGGAGGGGTGGAAGACGATTCAACTGGATCCTGAGCTCCACCTGACAGCAGTCCCGTGTTCTCGTCCTGGCAAACCTCTTCACCAAAATATGTTTTCCTTGGCCGACCCATGACAGTTCTCCCTGAAGTAATAAAACAAAGCACATACATATGATGCATAACTGTTTTAATAGGGTTTCACTAAACGATTAGATTCTGATTCTGTAAGACTGGAAAAACTGGTTGAGGCTGAAAATTAACATTTGAACTCCCCCTCGTGCACTATTGAGACGAAGGTCTCACCTCCCTCATCCTAATCTCTGATTATCATCGAGTATTATACTTGTTTAGTATCAATCGAAATGTCTCAGTGCGACTGGTACAAATGTCTCATTTCCAAATAAGTAAAACAAAAGGTAATAAGGTTTTTAAGAGTTTAGAGATAACTGGCACACAAAGGAATGTGGTCTCTAGACCAGTGTTTCCCAACCCTGCTCCTTGAGGCACACCAACAGTGCACATTTTGGATGTCTCCCTTTTCTGACCCATATATTTCTGGTCTTGGAGTCTCTACTAACGAGCTGATGAGTTGATTCAGGTGTGAGCGATTAGGAAGAGTTGGAAAATGTGTAGTGTTGGTGTGCCTCCAGGAACAGGGTTGGGAAACACTGCTCTAGACCAGTGGTTCCCAAACCTGTCCTCACGGCACCCCAACACTGCACAAGATAAAGAAAACGTGGGGTGTTTCTCAAAACCAAGAATGCAAAGAACGGACTTGTGTTCTTGGGGAGAACGCTCTTGCTAGTTGTTCTTGGAAGAATGAACTTGCAATGTGACGAGCACACAGAACGCCGCTGACAGTTTGAGACGATGTGTTCTTGCGGGTATTGCGCAATACCCTCATACAGAACTCAAACATTTACGACTCGCCATACATTTTCGTAAAAATGCGAATATTTGAAATCTTCACAGTTGATTTCTCGCATCAAATGTTCTCAGAAGTGAATTGAGTGATGAAATAGCATACGAAATTGTATATTTTAGGCAACAATCAAACGAAATATGCTACAACTCTGCCTCTTTTCGTCAACAATAAAACGAAATATTTTAGAAAACACCACTCTGCCTCTTTTCATTTAAAAAAAATTTATCTTCACTGCATATTTATAACAACATGAAATATTAAAACACAACCCTGCTTTTTTTTTTTTTTAATATGAAACATTCTTGATTTGTATTGCCATTTGTCAAAGAGATACAGGGTTGTGTCATTTTATTTTACATATAGTGAAGAGAATGTTAAAATAAATATAAAAAATATATCTATTTTAAAGTATATAAAATAAAATAAACAACCCTGTCTCTTTTTGTTAAATGTCATTTTTACTGATCAATAATATCCAGTATAAAGGTATAAGAAGCTAACTTACAATGAGAAATTAAGCAAACAATTAGGCTACAAAGTTAAAGTTAAATAGCCTAAATATATAAAGTTATGAAACTTCACTTTGCCCTCCGCCAAAACGATTTGCCATGGAACAAATATAGATTAATGAGTGAGACCAAAGATCGACACAAGACGAATATACGTCATGTTTAGAGACACCAGAGGCAGCGGCACACGTCAGAAGCACTAGCCGAGGAAAAGCTGTTCCAGTCGGGTTAATGAGCGCTGAACTCCCGGTGATCACCTGGATCTCACAACTCCGAAAGCGTCAGATACATTTTTCAAATAGGCGCTATCTTTATAAACAAACCACAGATTTGAGCTTTAAACAACTACATTCTCGCCTGAAACACTCTTAAAATTACATTTCATGACACAATAACAGTAGTATTTTGATATTACGCGGGTTTTCTCCTCTGGTATTGACGCTTGCTGGTTGGTGCGAGATGCATTCTGGGATACCTGGCTGTCTCAAGTCCGCACAAGTCACCTCTCGATGCATCCTCGATAAAAGGGGCGGATCAAGAACACATCCGGGGATTTGAACTGGACTTGGCTAGATGTGAACTTTGAATTGGGACAGTACTTGGGCAGCGACTGATGACGTTTCACAAGACCACAAGAACACAAGTACAGACAAGAACGCATATTGAGAAACGGCCGTGCAGTGTTGGGGTGCCGTGAGGACAGGTTTGGGAACCACTGCTCTAGACAAACGGTCCTACCCCCAAAAGGTGTTACTTCTGAATGCAAATATCCATGGTTAGCCTATATCAGTGGTTCTCAACCCTGTCCTGGCGTACCCCCAACACTACACGTTTTCCTTGTCTCCCTAATCAAACACACCTGATTCAACTCATCAGCTCATTAACCCATGTGATAATGAGCTGATGAGTTGAATCAGGTGTGTTTGATTAGGGAGACAAGGAAAACGTGTAGTGTTGGGGGTACGCCAGGACAGGGTTGAGAACCACTGGCCTATATAATGAAATGCAGCAAGGGGCTCGGGGCCTTTTCTGTATCTCAGATCAGCCCGTGAATGCTGAGAGCCGGCGGGGCTCTCAGCTTCATGTATTTCCTAATGCCTGGTTCGTCTTCTCTTTATTCCAGAGCATTTGATGTTTTGTATTGATTATCTTTGAACTGATTATACATTTACCTGACAATAAATTGTTACATTTTGATTATTCTAGCTGACTTTGACATTATTTCATTAGAGTTAAAAGGAATAGTCAAACTTTCGCTTATATTTAATGATGCACAGATATCATTAAAAAAACCTTTTCATTTATGGAGTCAGATGAAATAACGAGAGAATACATATGAGAAAATGTATTGCATTTAATCAAAAATACTTTGCCACGAGAAAGGACAGTAACACGCAGACACCTCGATTATCAAGCTTTTCGATTTGATATCGACTAGTTTGTGTATTTGTAAATGTTATTGTTACACGTTACATGTTATCGTTTACAAGCTGCTTTATTGATGTATTTCTGCAGATGAAAAACTGATTGAGCGATTATATGAGGCATAATGCATTTCAGGAAGTTGTACTGTTTCTTTCAACATTCCTTCTGATGTTGAAGTATATTTCATTTACATTTATGCATTTAGCAGACGCTTTTATCCACAGTGACTTAGAAGAATAACAAAGCATTCATCAAAAAGCCAACAATCGTTGTAGAATATTTCATGCTATAACTAGTGGTAATGAGGAAATCATCAGTTCAAATGTCCTCCATGTTGCCTCTTGAACCAAGACAGCTACAGCAATCGGTCAAAACACTAAAATAACACTGTCAACAATGCCTATTCTGTGTTCAGAAACTTGGACCATACCATTATTAAAGGTAATAATGTAGCATTATTCCTGGCTGTGCAATACAGAGCGCCAGGAAATTATATGTCGATGCATTTGCGTTCTCTTGCAAATTTCCCCAGAGATAGTTTGCAAGAAAGCTACAGTTTTTTAAGAAGGACACACAGACAAACAGATAGATAGATGAAGCATTTTGACCCAAAAAGGCTTCTAGACCCTCTGACCATACAACACTAATAAGAAAAGACTGTGTAGTGACTCACCGACATTGCGCACTTGTTCTGAGATGTCAGCCCGTATGTCTGAGATATCCCACATGGCCAGGAAGGAATCAAAGCAGGAACCTTCCTCTGCTTCCTGTATGTAGGGTTTGTAAGTGAAACTGAAGTGATGGGCAATGGCTGCCAAAAACATTTCCACACAGATGATGAAGTCCTATGAGAACAGAGAATCACAGACTCTTAATCTTGAAGGTTACTTCCACTCGTGCAACTAGAAGTTAATGTGTGGCCCTGCAGTAGCAAGTGTACATGGTATTTTAAACCCGCGTCTCACTAGCTGATTTCCAGTGGTGAGTCCCATTTACAGTCCCAAGTAATGTTACAAAAAAAGTAGTTAAGTGCTCAGGCCAAAGTACCACACCTGCAATCCAGTGGCTACAGCCTCCACACTATCCCACTCCCAGGTGTGAGATTCTGAGATCACACCAACCTTCACTAAAAGTGCAATGACCACAGCTTGCCTAAGACAGATAAAACAACTGAATTAAATAAAACATTACATGGTGACATAAAATCAATATCCATCATAAATTATATTTTATATTGGCTTTGTGAGATTCACCAATGTTTATAATAATTCTGCCAGTAATGACCATTAACTGCCATGACTCTAGTTGTGGAGAGATGGTAGTTGCTATAGTGTATCCTAGAAAACTACACTGAATAACAAAGGAACTAAACATGATTATAACAGTCATCACTGCAAGTAGATCAGAATTGTTATGTGCGATGTGTAGAGAATGGTTTACCAGAATGACACAAAAACCACCAGTTTGACACAGAGGAATTTGCCCACAGGTTTTATGGGACTCAGCTCTTCTCTCAGAGCCTTGTAAAACAGCACAAGACAGTACATGGCAAACTGAAGAGAGAAAACAAGTGCACCATTAGCACAATACCATTAGGTTTTCAGGTTACCGTTTAACTTGAACTATCAATAATTATTCACTGTTGTTGCATCAAGTTCCTTAAGCTTTTAATATTTATGAGCTGCATGAACACAAATGAGAGGCTGTCTGTTTTGTTTTACTGTTGATTAAAAAAAAATCAATAAGACGTCTCTGTAAATAAGGCTTTAGTTACATTGTATCTTCCTTTTACTGCTGTTTGGCTCCTGGCTGTAACTGTAGACTCATTCCGTGACATAAGCTCACGTGACAGTCTTGCATAATATTCAGTGAAAAAACAAAACAAAAAAAAAACAGGTACTTACGAGCTGAGAGAGATTGTTGACAATAACCAGATATGTCCAGGCATTTTTTGAACTGAAGTTGCCTTCATCATAGACACCGCAAAGCTGACAAATCCTAATTTGGTAGGACAAAAATGACATTGAAATTACTGCCTAACAGCTAAAGCTTTATTTTGACCTGTTACATGCTCAATTTAAGAGTACATTTCAAAATATAGTCTCTAAGATGGTGTAATTTTTAGTACCAGGAAACTAAATATAGTTTTGTGTTTAAAAGTATTCAGAGCACAGAAACATATGGAACCATTAATGTTGACCAAAAGGGTTTGTTGATCAACTTTCACTAACAGAAATAACACTACCGTTCCAATGTTTGGGGTCAGAGAAGAAATGAATACTTTTATTCAGAAAGGATGGATTAAATTGATCAAAATTGATAGTAAAGACATTTATAAAATATTCATATTTTAAATAAATACTGTTCTTTTAAACTTTCCATTTATCAAACATCATGGGGATAAAAATGTCTCACAGTTTCCACATAAATATTAAGGAGCACAACCTTTTTTTAACATTGATAATAATAAGAAATGGTACTTGGGCACTACATAAGCATATACTAATGATTTCTGACATTGAAGACTGGAGAAATGGCTTCAGAAAATTACATAAAAAAATATTACATAAAATCAATTCCCCTTTTTATCAAATAAATGCAGATGTGATGAGCATAACAGACTTCTTTCAAAAACATTTTTTTTTTACTCCAAACTTGTGAACGATAGTGCATATATTGTGTCTCTTTGTGGTGTTAAACCTAATAAAGTAACACTTACAAAGCAATGATTGTGGTGACAGGTCTCACAACTGTGTACTGGAGAACTCCCAGTTTGCATCTCAGCAAAAGCACTCTGTTAAGAAAGAAATGAGTTAGGTAAATGTTCTGGTAAATATAAAAATAGAGGAAAATTGAGAAAATATTGGTAAGGTATACTGTAAATAAATGTTTAAAAAGGTATAATGTTTAAAAAAGTATTGGTAAGGTATACAAAAATAAATGTGCATAAAACACTTCAAGTTAAGTTAACAGGCACATAACAGAGCTTCACTGTCCTCTGAAGCAGTACACAAACATATTTTTTCAGTTTAAACAACTCGCTGGTTTAAATCAACAAACTCTTCACACATTTCCACCCCTGCCTAACGTAAATTTCAAATGTGCTTTCAAATGAACACAAGAAAGTGTTCAATCTTCAAGCAATTTAGAAAAATCCCTTTCTGCTGTATCTAAACTTTCATTTCCCATCCTGCACTTTGAAGAAGGCTCCAAAGGAGAAGATGGTAAACAGGTAATGGAGGCCCTCAACATAAGAGCCTCAGCTAACATCTTGACTTTCTCCTTTAGTAATATTAACAACAGATATGCATTAAATACCACATCCTGCATCAAGTTTTCCCACTCTTGTATCATAACTGTGTTTATGCAAACACTCACTCTCCCATGGGCCACGGTGGGCAGCAGCAAAGAGGAGGGAGATGTTTTTGTTGCTCCTGCACCTCCAGCATCAGCACCAGACTGGGATACTGGTTCCCCAGATAGTTGAGAAGGAAGATCATGAAGTTGTAGATAACATAGGCCTCATAACACTCTCTACATGTGTCTACATAGATGGCAATGCTGGGGTACTTCAATGCAATCCACTGTGAAAACAGAGGAAGGGACCAACGACATTAGAATTAAGGGATTCCACATACAGAACACAGACAAATGATATCCTGCTGTTCAAAAAAGATTAGATGCACATGAGTTTGGTCAAATTAATTTCTGTTCCAGCTCTTTAAGTAATCTAAGTCATGAGCATCTGCACCATCAGGCCTCACATTAACTCATTGTCAAACAGAAAAAAGGCCAGCATTCAAGTGAAGGCAATCTAAGTTGGATAGCAAACATCAAAGAAGCCATTTGCGATTCAAATACCAACATTTTAGCAGCCATAAGGTGATCACATGATACTCACACTATCCAGGCTGTATATAGGAACCATCCATAATATTCTAAAAATGGAAAAATGAATAAGTGAGAAAAAAAAAGAACAATCGCACAGAAGATAATGTCCTATACAATACTGCATAAATTAAACTAGTTGCGAAGTAATATTATCTATACATCAATACCTGATAATGGGTTTTTGTAGCTCAGGTTGGGTGTAGTGTACTAGATGCTGCAGTATCCCCCACAGTGAGATGGGTATAGTCATGAACACGAATAACCCAGCGATGAACCATGCCTTATTTTGAATACTAACCTACGGGATTACAAAGAAAAAATACAGCCACTGTGAAAACCAGACATTGTCAAAATTATCAAAACTTTTAAAAATTAATGTGAATATATATGTTTTTTGTTCTCCAAAGTTATAGTTATTTTAGTACTATTTATATATACTTACATTATTAATATTTTAAACTAGATTTTATCAAATTTTCATTTATAATTTGAGTTTAAATTTTAGTAATTTTGTTATGCACTTTTGTCATTTTGATCAGCTTTTTTAATATTTCTATTTAGCTTTAACTTATTTGTTATCTCAGTTTTACTCCGTTTCAATGACAAGACTTAAGTCTAGTCCCAGACTAGCATCTGTTTTAACTGAACACAACTTGCACTGGCATATCTTAAAATATGTCAGTGTCATTGTTTTGTCTCATGATGCACACCAGTAATATTTTTTTTTTCTAAGGCATGTTTATAAAAGTTACTTAAATGTCCAAATTGAACTAAGGCCTAATCCTGGCTTAATCTAAACCCTGTTTGTGAAACTAGGCCATAGTTTTAATAATTTTAGCATTTCAACTCACACTTATTTTAGGTCAGTTAGTTGGCAAGACAACATTTACTTATTTTGTTTACTCTTTTTAGCGTAAGTTTTCATGCAATATTTATTTATTATTTCAGCTTATTTTAAATGAACAGAAATAATTTTTAATAGTTTTAGTTAAAAATATCATCAGATGTGCAAACACCATTGAAGAGATGACAGCAACTCTAAATCACGCGCATGCACCACTGCCAAATTGTCTAGTTATATATTGCAATCATTATGATCACAACTTGACATAATGGACATTACTTTGACACAGTCACCTCTGATAACAGATTACACTAAATTGTAATGTAGAAGTATGCATTTTTCTATAACAAAACACTTTGGGACCAGATAAAATCAAACTTACAGGTTCTTTAGACCTTTTATACCATAATAAAGAGACCAAATTAATTATTTATTAATGGTTTCCATTGTAGGTCAAATTAGACTCAATGGATACATGTGAAGTTTCTTAAAACAACAGCATTATAGGCACATTCTTGACAGTCAGATGCTAAATGTTTAATGTGTGTAGTTATAAAAAGACTTCTGACCCCTGATTTTTGTAGTTCCCATATACAGAGTGGAAGGACAACCAGAAGGAGCAGAATGTACAGCAGCACCACGAGAGGCCGAATCCACCTCCTCCAGTTCCCGCATGTGCACGGCATCTTGAACGGACACTAACCTCTTACATTACACTCCAATGGAGTTTGACACAGAGACAAGTAGCGTTACAGATAAAAGCGGAGTTAAGCTCTTTGCAGTTCTACCGCTGTGGTTTGGTTTAGAATGCATATGACTGGAATAGACACTACAGAGATCTAGACGAATCATGTGTTCAGCGAGTCAAATAATCAGCTGATTCCTCCCGATGCTTTCCGCCGCCCCCACATACATTAACGTTACAGTCACTGCTTAGTTTCAAGAGCCGCTCGCGATCGCGTCCGTTATAAAGTCAGCGCGCAATCATATTTCATTCTCTTTTTGCTGAAGTCATGTCATAAAAGGCATATATAAGTTAACAGACTTCAAATCATGTCATTAAAGCCATATATAAGTTTACACACTTCAAAAAAATAAGAAGTGAACGCGAGCGACAAGTTAATAAACAAAGCTGGTCGGACCTTCCTGTTGATCATGACGTCACTGCAGGTTGGTCCTTCGCTTGTTGAACGAGACATTTGTAATACTTAGCGCCACCACTTGGATGGGAGAAAAGCCAAATCATGGCGTGCAAAAAAACAATATTCGCCGCTGCATAGTTAACTAACTAAATTAAGAAACGAGGCGACCGGTGAGTGTTGTAACTTATAAACCATTTTGTTTCGACGTCTGATTCAGTGTCGTTTTTCAGAAAGTGGCTTATATCTATCTGCTAAAAAATCAAGTAGTTTAGAAATATAATTATCCATAATTTGTGTAAAATAATAAAGTAAAACGTTGCCACAACTTCCCCCACTACCGAGGTGAGTTGTACTGCCGATTTCAAACATCGGCATTTTGATTTTTTGAATCTGTGGTGATTAAATTAGCAAAATAGTTTGTATGCCACCCCCAACCTGCCCACAGTGTCCTCGTTCATTAAACCTTTTAATTAAAAATGATAAACTTTCATTTAAAACTGCAGATACAATGGTAAACAAATATAGAACAAATATAAACAAACTTTTGGCTAACAACTAAACAAAACAGACGGGCCCATTTTGTGGGCAAAGCTAAAGTAGGCCTACATTAACGTTAGTATGTGACAGACCTCATGATCAGACATTTCTAGTATTTTAGCTGAAAAGCATCAGATGATAGGCTACAATGTCTGTCATTCTGTGTGATTGGAAAACAATTTATTTACCAGATATGAAATAATATTTTTTTCCTCAGAGTTTTATTACATCTGTAATTCCTTTATAATTTTTCTCAGAGACTGATTATTTTGTGAAAATTGTATATTGTGTGCATTATGGTACTCTTCTGTTACCTTGTCTTTCGATTACTTTTCTGATTTTTGTTGTTGTTGTCCTTTTTCAAGACTGACAGCATGCACTTCAATGTATTGCCAACATCCTGCTAGTATCTCCTTTGGTGTTACATGGAAGAAAGAACATCATATGAGACCGTCATGATGGTGAGTAAATTATGACAGAATTAACATTTTGGATGAACTGTCACTTTAAGTTTATTGAATTTTACATGCTATTGAGTTTTACTTAAAATTGTTCTTAGGAGAGAAAAGCAAAGATTAATAGAATAGTCTCACTGAAGGGGATTTAATCAAAAATAACCTAATTGCCCTAAGAACCAGTGAAAGTACAGTGTGAAACAAAGGTGAAATTGGTCAGACTTGGGTGTCTCACTAGATGGCAGTGTGTGGCAACACTTTCCCTGCAGGAGTATCCCAGTAATTCATTTGCATCTCTTGTATAAAGTGTTCCTGAACAAAAAAACAGAACAGAAAACAAGCCAGGTCTCTAAGTCTGTTTTCTTTTTTAGCAGGAAGATTGCCCACATGTTTTAGTTTGTTTTCCTGAAAAACAGAACAGTCGTCAAATTACTGTTTCTAATTAAGATTCCAGGGGTGTGTGAAAAAAGATTTATTTATTTTCCCCCCTGCGCTAATCCAACTACGACAAACGCCGTATCAGCACGAAAGTACATTTCGTAACTGGTTGAAAAAAAAAGTTGCTGCTTTAAATTAAGTACAATCAACTTGGATGTTTAAGTCATTTCAACTTAAACTTTATTAAACTGACCTTTGAAAAAATAGAAAAGAACCACCGCTCATCCGTCAAAAAAGTCTTGTAGAGAGGTGCTGCTACATTAAATCATCATGGAAAATTGTAAAAAAAAAAAAAAAAAGTGCTGCTGTATTTTTACAATTTTCCATTAAACTGACCTTTAAAAATGAGCTGAATATTGTATAACAAAAAAAAAAGCTTAACTTAGTTTGGTGAGTTAAAGCAATGTAAAAACATATGTTGTCATAACTTATTGATCATATCATTTTTTACAGCACAGAACTCCAGAGTCTGTTTTTTTCTTGGTCTATTGCTAAACAACTGTTTTATTTTATCAGGAAGCATACGAGTATAAAAAGTGCTACTAAAATACACAGCACTTTAAAACAGCACAACATCTTAAAAGTTTTATAGGCCTAATTGTTTTGTTTATGCAATTTGTGAAGTCAAAGAGCCCTTCCCAGGCTATATATATATAAAAAAAGATTGTTTAAAATCAAACCTGTGTATTTACTTGAGTGTGCAATGAGGAATAGCAATGATTTCCAGATGCTTTATTGGGTAGGACTGATTTTATCTCAGACAGTCTCCCCTTGTCAGATCCAGCTGTCCCGCAGAAGACATAAGAGCACAGTTTCACTAGCCTGTTTCAATACCCACCAAATGTAGAAGATGACTTTAATGGTCTTTTACATGGAAAATCAGCTAGAGTTTAAACTTTTCCATGATGAAAGCAGAGGCAGGAGCTTGACCTGTGAAACTCAATACTCATTCTTTCCTCTCTCATGCCCTTGTGTTTATAAGACACAGACTGCAATAAAAAGGTTTTAAAAGACCTGCCGGTCGTTTGCCAGTCACAAAAAAAAAAATAGATATATCTGAAAAAATTGTGTCAATGAAATATTTGAGGACAAAGGAAGATGTACAAGGCTGAAGTAGTCCAGAATACGTGGAGACAGAACTTTCTTTTATGTCGCTGCGCTGTCATCATACTGTCCCCCAGTTACAGAAATGGCTCATTGCGATGGGACAGATTGTTCATGAATATTGAATCGATCCTTTTGGCTTTTATAAATTAGAAATCGTTCTTGCCACACTCATGTGAGCGCCTTGTTGGATGACTTGGAGGGATAGCTCTGCAAAATGGCATGTGGGACTCTGCCATGTCGGGGCAGGGAAGACAAACAGGCGCTGTGTTTGAGAAAATTGGATACATATTTAAAGTTTAAACGCCGCCGAGTGACGTCCATAGTTAACATCTCATGTGACTCCCAGTATGAGAGTTGTTATTCTGTGTTTAGTTTGGATTTAATTTAGACGTCAGTACGTGTTGGGCTAAATGAGGAGAGTTATTGGATCATGGTTTGTGGCTTTATGTCTTTGGACATGTGAATTACAATCTTCATGAATTGGTGTCATGCCAGATGGATACCTTCAAGACAGAAAAAAATAGAAAATATACGTTTGATTATTAATTAATCTCAAACATCTGGCCCAAGATGTATGACAGAAATAGTTTGAGTGTAGAAATGATTCTATCTAGTCCTCAATATTGTAATATAAAAAAAAAAAAAAAAAAATCTGATTACATTATTGTTCTTGGAGCTCAGTCATCTCATACATTAATTTTGTGGATGGTTTGAAATCCCTTGCATGAGAGATAAGGTTACCTCATGCTCATAAATAGAGGTGAAAGCACTGCACGCTCTCACAGTTAAGACTGTTTTATCCACAGATTTGATCCAAATGCCGTTGGTTTCTTGCCTTTTTAAGTGTTATGGCAGTGGTGGTGTGTAATAACAAAAATGTGTTATTAATATAATCCATGGCAGAGCACAGTCTTATTAAAAACTTTAGGATACAGTCAGCGCTTTATCTATGTTTGCTGGTAGTTTGGCCTTGGAGAGCTACTTTTCCTCTGAAAATAATGATGTGCTTTGTTGAGAGACCTGCTCTAAAGCCAGGATAAAGAATTATATGTATTGTATGCTCTGTCTGAATACTCGATTCTGATTGGCTGGAAGGTGTCCAATAAAACCGTTTAATGCACATGTAGTTCCAAGTCAACAACTTTTTTAAATGTTTAATTTTTTTTTAATTTCTAGAGGAAAGTATTGGTAATAAAAACATTGAATTCAATACAGCTGCAGAGCGACATTAGAATTGTTTTAACTATTTGAGTACAAATACATTTTGATGGCATCATCAGGGAAAGTTTCTACAGTGATGTGAGTTGCACATGTCAGCTTTTCAATTATTTTTAATGTAATTAAATTTTTTTTTTTTTTTTTTTTTTTTTTTTTTTTTTTTCTCAAAGGCTCCCTGTGTTACTTTGCCTTTGAGCTTCATTTGCTTCTTCCTTGGCAAGCTCAGACGTTCCCACCAAATTCCTCGGACCTAAAACCTTTCGTTCTTCTCCCTGAAGGCAGTTTCATGAGGATAAGAAAAACATATCTCCAATCTCTGACGAGAAGTCATTTTTGCATATGCTTTCAATAGTAGACTCTCAAAACAGACGTGTCTCTTCTCTAATTCAATTTCTAATTCCATGTGTGATAAAAATGTCTTAAAATAAACAAAAAGACATTTTTATAGTAAATTATTAAGTCCATGCTTATTTTGGCTTGTGAACATGACCCGTGTGTATTCAGCCTAGAACATTGTGTTGCAATGACTTTATATCAATCAAAAATTATTATCTTTTTAATTAATACACATTTGTAACTGTTAGAGCATATAACTCTTTTTCAGAGGAATCCTGTTTGAGACCAGACCAACAGTTTGTCTACTGCACTTATACATAAGCATCATCTTCATTAAATAATATAATATAACATTACAAAACCCCACACAAGCAAATAAAAAACACATTTATTTTTCCAAACCAATATCAGACTGATATAAACAGTAACTTACATTGCAGATAATGGTTTAAGCTCCACAGTTTACATCAAGGCTTCTAGTATGCCCCGTTCACATCCTCTAGGTTGACACTGATGACCCAGAGGGGCCGTGTTGCCTTGTGGGTCAAAGTGCATCACAAATCACTCCCATACTGGAGCTTCTTCCCAGGCCAAAAACAGAAAGCTGTCACAAGGCACCTATCTTTTTTTAACACAGGAACTTGTTACATTTGGAGATAAGTGGTAGAATCAATAGTCTCTCAAAAATAACTAGCAGCTAATCTAGAAGATTGGACTAATGCAATTACAGTCTATGAGAAGAAGTGTCATGTTTTAACCAGTCAGTCATGATATGTAAAATAATCTATAGTTAATTTTCTGTACTGCATAGCATATAGAGTAAACAGATGTTCGGTTGCTATAGTGCTATAATAAGTTTAAATATATATATAGCTGTGCAACATTCCTCACTCAGTGGTGGTAAAGTTCAACCGGTGTGACAAGGATAATCCGTGACATCAAATTCCACTACAAACATTACCGTTTTTTTTTATTTTTTGTTTTCATGCACAAATATATCCCTCAACACTTAGCATGTCAAATTAACAAGACCCATGTAGATCTCTGTCAGAACGTGTACAATGTCATTCATATTAGTTTCAAATTATGTTAAAAAGAAAATGGATTTCTTCAAATTCCATATACACTTCTGTTCAAAAGTTTGGGGTTGGTAAGAATTGATAATCTCTTTGAAAGAGGTCTCTTCTGCTCACAAAGGTTGCGATTATTTGATCAAAAATACAGTAAAACGGTACAAACATTTGAATGGTGGTGTATATTTTTGGTACAACAAGATAAAGAAAACAAATATTTCAACTTAAAATGCAGATGATATACAAATACTGAGACCATTAAATATTAATAATATTGACGTAATATATACAAGGTTAATAGCATGTATGAGTTCTCTTCACAGAACATTCACAGTGTCAAAATAAAGCAAAGATATGTTTGTATCTCTTGGGCGTTTTTGTTTTGATTACACAAAGCCCCCTTTCCCGCGCCCTTATGCTCAATATTTTTTTTCTTTTCTTTCACACTATAACACAGCATTTGTTGCAGTTGGAGTCATTCCTAGACATTTCTCTTAAATCCCACCAAGGTCAAAGTTATTTGCCTCCTCATATCTGGAACACAATCCAGCTGTTACATTTTACATGTGCTGTATGATCTTCATGTTTTTTTTTATTTTTTTATTCTGAGCTTACATATTCATCTAACACCTTTCAAGCATATACACATGGAACTTAATTTGGCATTCAAACAAAAAGGCATATCTTCATTATCTTCCTACTACTCTAAATAAAGAGTTGACGTCCAGCGCACAATACGATTCACCTAACAACAACTAAATAAACTTTGAGCCAGGTGGTGACCTGAAAGTTCCTGTTTTACAAACTAGTTTTGAATCAAGGTTCCATGACTGCATTCAATGTGCTAACAATAACAACCGGACACTGAATTTGAGGGATAGGCTGCCCCCTCAGCTGCATGGGAGTTTCTTTGGCAAAGCTTATAGGAAGGAACACACACACACACACACACACACACACACGCACCCACAGATTGACCCTCACCGCTTCACTCTTCCTTTCTGCAACTTCCTTTCACATCAGACAGTGACGATCCAGAGCTTGTTCATAGTGCAGTATTTACGTAAGGAAAACATGTCGAGCTCCTGATGAGGGTTAATTTGTAGCTGTTAGGTTCAGCTGCATCCTGTTTCTGTTGGTCTTCACTCCCACCACTTCTCTCACACAGAAAAACAACACTCTGAATGTCTGGGAACAGCTGCTCTATGTCTACGGGAGACTTTAAATATATCAGGTCCATTGTCTGATCTGAAGCTATATATAAAAACAGCCTGATACTGCGCTGAGCACAGGGCCTTTAGTTTCATATGAATGGTTACAATGCTTTCCACCTCAAAGTTTGACACTGATGATGATGATGTCCGCTTTTCTAATGCGTTTTAAGCATGTCGATTGTCCTCCACCTCTCAGTCGCTGTATTTGCGAAGGCTTCTGTCGGTATTTAGGTTGCCGGGCTCATGGTTTTTGCACTGAATGCTAGTGCCGTTCACGGGGCCTGAGCTGGACACCTGGTTCTTGGTATGACACCAACAGCACAAGCAGGACTGGAATAGTGATAAAGATAAAAGGAAAATCATTTGATTGTTGCAACATAGGCTCATTAGAAAAACATGCTGCTGCTTTGCAAAACTTCACACAAAAATAAATAAATAAATACATATATGTTATGACCCCAAAACACACCATAGTGCATGATTTGTTAAAGTAACACTATGTAGATTTTCAACCTTCATAATATATTTCCAAGACCCTTGTGATGGTACATCGACCTTGTGATGGTCTGCCATAGCCTGACGTGGTCTTTATCGCTTTTACTGGCACCATGTAACTTCGGGTTTCGGGTAGGAACCCGTGCACAAAAAGAACTTCAAAATTTGACTGCTTTACGGCATACGTCACTTCCCCCACCACTTCCTCAAATTGTCTGTGGCCATTGCAGACATCCCAAGTCTCCCGGGAGTCTCCCGCATATTGATAGCGTCTCCCTGATGCCCGAAAATTAGTTCAAATCTCTCGGAATCTAGAGCGCGCATGCGAGACAGAACATACTGCGCGCATAACATACATAGCGCGAGCACGGCAGAGAGGGAGAGAGCGAGAGACCTTGCGAGTGTGCCTCACAAAAGCTAGTCAACCCGCCACCCCCCCTCAACAATCCAGTCACCAAGATAGACCTCCCTGAAATGACTTCTTGCAGGTTGGGATGTCTGCCATTGTTGATTCCAAAGCCGGTGCTGGATAAACAGCGAGCGTGCGCGTGCGACAGTAGGCTGCGGTAGGCTAAATTATTTACGACAGCAGTAATGGACAATTCTGCTTCCAACCTGTAGGGCGACCGCTGAGGAAAAGTTACTTGGTGTTTCTTTAAGTAATTCATTTTCACGTTTGCATGTCATGGGTTTCTGACATAGTAAACTTGCTCACTAGCTCACCTGGTACAGCATTGCACTTGCGATCCGGAATGGTTTGCTTATGTTAATACTATTGGTTACGTTTAGAGCAGGGTTTAGTGTAGGTGGTACGATATTTTCGAAGGAGATAGAGCTTGAACCTTTTAGCGGCACTTGATGAAAATGTACGTTTTGAACTGCCACTATAACAGCCAACATTTTAAAATGTTGCCAGTTTTACATTTTTCTGTTTCGAAAACAATTGAACATGCTTTTAGCACCATTTACGGGACATTTCAATTTGAACATGCTGTAAAATGTGCAAGAAACAATGTAACCAATGTAACCGCAGGGCAGGCACTTTTTTTTTTTTTTTTTTAACAAGCTTGGTTTGGATTTTAAGTAGTGCACATTTGTATTGTATTAGAGGTGAATAGGTTGAAATGAATCAGTATTTCTTATCTGCAGCACTAAATTTGGCCCATAGTAAATCAATGTTGAATATTTCTCTTGGACCTGCACCATCTCTTTCACAGATCACCAGTTGGCTTGTATTTAGGGCCATGAACTTGGGTTGGCCAACTGAGTTGGTGTTATGGTTTGTCTCACAAATGCTTCAGCTGCAGTGTATCTATAGGATCATCCTCATTACTGAAAAGGGGCCTACTTAGGATCTGACATCATTTTCTGTAATCTACGCTCAGACAACCAGGGCTGGGCATGGCTTATCTCCCTCTGAGAATGACTCACAGGACACCTAAACATTTGTCTCCATAAATCAAGCACAATTTGCTGATTGAATGGTCTGTGACCGCTGATTTTGCGAAGTCGTGACGTGAGGAAACATATTCACCCATTCTGTATGAGTCTGTTTGCAATGGCTTGTTAATGAAGGAAGAAACACTCACCTTAAAGCAATTATTGAACTTCTTGCTGACAAAGTAGAGGATGATGGGGTTGATGCAGGAGTTCACAGTGGCCAAGTTGATGCTAAAATAATCCATGATCAACAGGAAGCTGAAAGTTTGGACACTCGTTTAGTTTTGTTGTGTGTAAGTTTACATACCACTTGCACAATCTACAAGATGTTTGTCATTTTTGAATAAGATGGATTATTTTAGAGATTACAATCACAAATACAAAATACTAGCTGAAGTTTTAAAATACAACAATTAATTTAAAGCTGAGATTGTAAAAAAATCACACTAGAAATATTATACCATAGTCACATTAAAAAAAACATTACTTTTTAAAATTGTATTAATATCCATGACTTATTTTTAAATTACTGTTTTTTAAAATTCCCTGATATTTCTAGGGTTTCCATTATTGTCCCTGATCTGTCCTGAGAAGGGAAGCTGCCCAATAATCTTAAGATCATGTAGTCTTGGTTTCCCATCATGCTCTATGTTTGAGTGTTTCCAACAGTGGCTATATGATGTCTTCAGTGGCCAACTAAGGGACTCATACACAACTATCACTATTAATGCATACTATATATATTTTTATGTCCCATTTGAATATTCCTGTTAACTCTAAATAGTACAATTTGTCTAAATTAATATATTATTTTGTCTTGTGGAATATAATGAAATACTGTGTTTTAAGCAGTCTTTTTAATGACAGTACTACATTTAAAATATGTTTTATATATCTTATTTTTACGATTGTATCTAATTTATCTTTTTATTTTTTTTGAAAAAGTTACGAGTCTTACAGCTTCTGTTAGGGATATGTAAACTTATTAGCACATATGTAAACACTTTAGTACAAACTATAACTTGTATGTCAAGACATAAGTACCATGCACATACAGTACAAGTATGTAGGGTATAAAATAAATCAGTCCACTGTTAAGCGTAAAAATTGGCGAAGGCTCACTCACTTGAGTAGGTCACAACGTCTTTCATCAGTTGGAACATAAACCATTTTCTTCAACAGTCTACTGAGATGAAGGGGGAACCAGCAAAGAGCAAATATCAGCACTAAACAGAAGACTGCTTTAGCCACTTCACGCCGCTGAAAAACATAAACAAGCCGTTAGAACCGCAGTATATTCAGTGTTATATAATGTACTCTCAGAGAAATTACTTTTACAGACTTTAGCACATACATAACAGGCTAAAAAGGTTATTATAATATCATCTAATTCAAGGATGGGCAACTACGGTCCTGGAGGGCAACTGCTCTGCCGAGTTTAGTTCCAACCCTAATCAAATACATCTGAACAGGGTTTTTTTTAGGTCTCCAGAATTACTAAAAAGATCACTTTTTAAAAAAAAACTGCAGGACACTGGCCCTCCAGGACCGAAGTTGCCCATCCATGATCTAATTGTTTATAATTCTTTCACTTTGCAGTAATACTCCTTATGTTTGAATGATACTGACTCGAAGGTTTATGACCATTATTAGTATTAAGGACTTTTTCTTACCTGTTTAAGGTGTTCACTGAGGACGATCCGAAGGCTTCCGTTTCTACGGTGGAGCATTTCACATGTCATGAGGGTGTAGAAAACAGCTGTGCAGGCCAGTGGCACGCAGAAGTAAAAGCCAAATAACCACCAGTCTTTCAAATCTACATATAACTGAAAGCAGATGAAAGACATTCTCAGTATCCATTATGTTTACAGTAAAAAAAAAAAAAGGAGAAAAGTTACGGTGTCCTGATGTAGTGTTTATAGCCAGTGAGAGATCATTTAAGGGCTGAGTTGTACCAAGATGATTTGGTAGCTAATTGAAAGTAGTAAAAATATAGCAAAAAATGCCCTCAGAAGACTTAAGTATTGTTTTAAAGGGAAACTAAACACTAAACCAACTTTTTAAAATTAATGATCTGTAAGACTGGGGCTTTATTAGTGCTGTTCATTGATTGGAGTAACTTTTTTGACAATTTGGGTATAAAGTGTTTTAATTCTACAATATATGGTGTAAAAACGTCTGAGTGCTGCCCTCTTCAGGTTGAACGGTGGCTACTGCAGTTGAATTTTCCTATTGGATGTTTGCGGTAGTTCGTGATGGTAGCGGTGAGAGCTGACATAAGCAGGTTTCAGCTTACCACGCCCTTGGTACGAGCTACCACGTCCATGGGAGTATAAAAACCATCTCGTTTCGTCAAAACCACTGTAGCGAGTCAGGAGTTGGAATTGCGATTATTGAAAACGATCAGGATAGAGTATCCGTTCATCCCCTCTATCTCCGCTGGGCTCCGCCCACTTTTCCAGCATTTTTCAAATATTGTCAGTGGGTGGAGTCAGGCTCTGACCAGGGGTTTAGTTACCCTTTAAAGGGGTGGTTGATTATGATTTCACTTTTCTAACTTTAGCTAGTGTGTAATGTTGCTGTTTGAGCATAAACAACATCGGCAAAGTTACAACTCTCAAAGTTCAAAGCAAAGGGAGATATTTGCTTTTAAAGAAATCGTTTTTTAAGGACTACAACAAACGTCTGGTAGGAACTACACAACATTCCTCCCGGGTTAGTGACATCACTAACCCTAAAATTTGCATAAACCCCAACCCCCGGGAACACGCAGTCCATGTTGAGAAGAGGAAGAGCTGTTGTAGTCAAGCACATTTGTGAGTCAGCTCAAACTGTAGCATCCGTCTTTTCACATGCAATAAAAAGTCACTCTGTGTGCATCTCACAACAGTTCCTATACAAGCGATTTATAGATTATCTTGACAGAATATGCTAATTGAAGAAAGTTAACTCCACATCAGCAACATAAATTCATCAACCATTCAGAGACGTCCTGTTGCATTCTACATGTTGTCACTTCTTAGTCTCGCCTCTGACTCCGGTTTAAACATAAAAGGCAGAACAGTTTCTGACATTTTAGCGTGTGTCTGCGTGAGGTAATGGAGCGAGCTAACACACACACACACACACACACACACACACACACACACACGCGAGCTTTTGAAGCTCCGCCCATTGTGTCGGGAGCTGCAGCTCTTTTGCATTTAAAGGAGAACTCCGGCGCAAAATGAACCTTTGGTCTAATAAAACATTGGTACCTAGTCAACCGTTCTCTGAGATTTGTTTTCATGATAATCGAATGTAAAGAGTTTTTTCTCTAAAAACTGTTTAGCGTATAATGCTAGTAATGGGGGCATCTATTAAGTAAAAAGAAATCGCTAGTTTATACCACTAACAAGACTCAAAATAGCCCCACACTAACACAGTAACATAATGAGGGTCCCTACATGCAAAACGAAGCATTGAGAACTTTGTAAGTGTACAGACCGTTTAATAAGAAGATATTTTATGAAGACAGTCCACTTCGTGTATACAGACAGGAGCCATCTTTGGAAAACAGTCTCAACTAGTCAAACCACGAACGACGTGCTAAGTGAGCTGAACTGAAGTGGAAATGGAGAAAACTTCTGAACTGAATGAATGGCGTTCGTGGTTTGATTAGTATTAAACGGTCTGTACACTTACAAAGTTCTCAATGCTTCGTTTTGCATGTAGGGACTAACGTAACCTCGGTTCTCTCTAGAGAGGGAACGAGTATTGCGTAACCGGCCGTGCTCGCGCCACGAGCGACTTCGCTTCAGTTGACGAAAACCAGGCAATTCAGCCTACAGCCCCTTCTTTTATACGCTAAGCCACGCCCATTCTGGCGGGCTATGACGCTATGAAGGCGCGGGCGCCCTTCATTGGGCGTGACGTCACGCGGGGCTCACTGGTAGGCTGCAGCAGTTGCCCGCAGGGCAGCCAATGAGCACGCAAGACTGCCTGCTCTAGGTCTGCTAGCTGCTGCACTGCGTTGACAATGAATACAAAATTAAGGATAATTTTTTGGTTTCAATATCTCGAGAAGATGAATCTTTCCCGTAGTGTAAGCTAAACTTACGCAATACTCGTTCCCTCTCTAGAGAGAACCGAGGTTACGTTAGTAACCGAGTACGTTTTTGCTAACCCTCAAAAAGTGACAACTTTAACATGCTATATAAACATATCTGTGGGGTATTTTGAGCTAAAACTTCACATACACACTCTGGGGATTTGATATTTCTATTCATTAAAAAATCCTGGGGGGGGGAAATAATAATTGTTTCCATTAAATATTGAGCAGCACAGCTGTTTTCAACTGTGATAATAATAAGAAATGTTGCTTGAGAACAAAATCAGCATATTATAATGATTTCTGAAGGATCATGTGACATTTTGTAAATATAATATAAATGTATTATAAATAAATATAACAAAATACAAATTGTATTGTAATTTTTTTTATTTCTGTATTGTAAACTTTTTTTTGTTGTTGTTCTTTACTTAGCAGTTAAATTAATATTTTTTTCAATAATTTACTTATTTGTAGCCATGGTGTAATAGCCATCAAACAGGAAAAGTATTTTGCATTGCATCCTGATCACTCTCCTGGGTTTATTTTATGATAATAATCAGCTGACCTTACATTATCCCCAGGTCCCTATAGCATAACTGTTTAACATGTAAAACAGTACTCAAAATGAAAACACAATGTTAATTTCATTTTTATAATTGAATTTGTGCTATATTAAATTGTCTCATTTGAATTGTTTAATGTTTCTGAGATTAATGGCAGGGTTCATATGAGAGAATGAACTGTTTGTCATCCACACATATGGCTCTGCTTGTGAAAGATACATCAGCTTGTAATTTCACTCATGGTCTGCTATCAATTTACTTCTTTGGACCGAACAAAGAAAAAGAAATCTCCAGATATCGTCTGCATGGGAAAACTGAAGAAAACTCCAAAGGTTTTACTTGTCTTATCCCCCTGCATTGTCTGTGATTTACGCAAAATGTTGCTTTCAAGATCAAAGTTTGTAAATGATGTCAGAAATCGTGCATAGCATCCTGCTCGAGGTCAACCACCCAGGATGCACTGTTTATTATAAAAAGTGCTTTAGTGTTTATGTGAATGAAGGGAAATGATGTCGGCATGACATCCATCCGATTAAAGCTTACCCTTGTGAAGTCACTTTCAGGCTTGAGCATACAAGTGTGGATGGTTTGGTTTTTGTAGGTGAAGGTGATCATGTTGAAGACTATTGCCTCTGGTACAGCCAAGATAATGGACAGGACCCAAATGGAGAAGATCTCAATGGCAGTAAAGAGGGGAATGCCGACCCCCTGCACTCTGCTCCAGGAGGCTACAGCCCTGTACCTGAGCCACAAAAACAAAACTCTGTCTCATGAGATTGCTCATCTGTTTTAACATTTCACAACAGAGACATGTCATTAGCTATGTTTTCATCCAAAGATGTGCATTTAACTTATGCGCAAAAAGTGGAGTATCGCGATTGAAAACAATTTGCGAAATTTCTATCCCACTCTAAAAAATGATATGATGATCAAGAAGTTATAACAACATGTTTTTACATTGCTTTAACTCAAATAAGTTAAGCCATTTCCAACTTTTTTTATGATATACAAGATCCAACTATTTTTTTTAAGTCAGTTTAATGTAATTTAAGTTGAAATGATTTAAACATCCAAGTTGATTGTACTTAATGTCAGACAGCAACTGTGTTTTTAACAGTGCATGTACTGCATTTAAGTGAAAAACAAAATTGTCACTTACTGGTAAATTGGCTCAATATATCTATAATAAAAATGGAAGTTGCTGCAATCGGGGAAGCCACTGTGGCTCTTTTTTCGTACATTATACATCACTTGTGCCTCAAAGCGTGCAGACGAAATACAATGAATGCTGTCGTGTTATCTTGCATTCGGAGGATGCCTGGTGTTTGGGATTTCAGTCATGTGAGACAGTTCTGGGAGTTAATTATCCCAACAATTTGATGACAGACTTTGGCTCAGGCATTTCAGAATGACCAAACAAACATTTAAGATGCTGTGCAATAAAAATTGAGGGTTTTTTTTTGTTGTTTTTGCGCATCAAGGGATTTTTTGGGTAAATGTGTTTCCATCATTATTTATTCGATAAGAGGATGTACATAAACTAAGAAAATCCTTTTTTTCCCCATCCTGCGATATACCAAACTTTCCACTTTATGTTAACTAAACATCTCTGTAAATGACCTCAGAGAAGTATGTATAATCTTCAACACCATTTTTTTTTTTTTGTTTTTTTTTTTTGTTTTTTTACATCAACACCTGCAAAGCTTGACTGATCAGATTCCTATCGTGTGGGAAAGCTTCTGTGAAAATATTGCTGTGCGTGCAGCTGTGCCAACTTTCAGCTACTGGTTTACAACTACAGTATCTAAGATTAATGAAAAGGCTGCTTTGCATTGTAATATGCATATTACTAAAAAGCTCACAGATACACTTCAGATGTTTGTTTGGATATAGTCACTGGTTTGCCTGGCTTGTTTCCCTTTGCTCAAAGTCATGTTTGCTTGTTTGTTTCATTAATATATTTTCTCTTGTGGGTGATTCTGTAAAACGGTGCATCAAGATTTTAAATAATTATATATATTTTTTATAACCCATTTGAATATTCCTGTTCAACAACAATGGGACATTTATATTTCACTAAGTAGAGATGTATCCACTTTGCCAAAACTCAGACGGATAAGAAAGATAGATAGATAGATTGTTTATTTAGCCACACGACAATGCCGGTGGAATTAGTTTTCGGTACAGTATGTTTAAGCACTACATCATGTGTATGCATTACAAACAACAGATCGACAATACATTTCACAACAAGTGACAGTGCAAGATACAGTGGTTAAGTGACCGTGCATAGTGTATAGACTACTAAACTAGAGAGAAGAGTTCAGAGTCCTGATGGCTATGGGAAAAAAAAAACTGTTTGTGAAACGTTTGGTCTTGGTAGAGAATGACCTGTAGCGCCTCCCTGAAGGAAGGAGCTGGAAGAGGTGATGAGCAGGGTGTGAGGGATCGGAGATGATTTTCTTTGCTCGCTTAACAGTCCGATGTGTATAAAGGCAATCAACTGAGGGCAATGGTTTTCCTATAATCTTGGATGCTTTGTTGACGATCTGCTGTAATTTTTTCTTTGTTTGGCTGTCTGTGCTCCCATACCATACTGTCATTGATAATGTAATGATAGATTCAATAATAGCAGAGTAGAACAGAACAAGGAGCTGATGTTTGATCCGGTATTTTTTAAGCTGCCTGAGGAAATAAAGCCTTTGCTGAGCTTTTGCAATGATGTGTTTAGTATTAGTTGAAAGACATGATATGTAAGCTCACGCAACATGGAGAGAACGGATCGGACGAGATGTGCTGAACATTTCCTCGGCATGATTCAGAAACTAATTGAAAGCGGCTGTGCTGTTGTGAAACTAAGTCCAGCCGTTTGATTCAAGTGATTCATTCTTTAAAAAATGTGACGGGCTGCTAGACATTTGTGGCTCAGATTCGCTCAATGGTTCTAAATGTCAATGAAACATCATTCACATGGGAAAAAAAGTTGATGGATATTATATTGTCTTTTTTTTATATAAAGTCCTATTAGTATATCTGAAGGAGCTCAAATTATGTGATGGTTTGTCAAAAGATAATTTTCACTTTTGTTTTTGGTTTATACAGTATCTTAACAATTTGGCCAAAAGACAACATTTTAGTTTTGTTTTATTGTACGCTACTTCTTTATGGTAGTGTAGCAAAGTGGGCAGGTGGCTTCAGGCTCCTGATGACGAAAATACTTTCTAATGAGAGGTGCCCATTAGAGCTGACCTTATATACTGGAGGAAGTGCCCTGATTCAAGAACTGGAAGAGCTCACGTCCCGCCTTTTCCCCTAAACCACATGCGCAAATGCACTAATGTTTCCTGAGATGGTTTTCATTGGAACCACCCTGATCAAGATGATACGGGAAATACACATTTTTCTCATTTCATACGAAATTCTTAATTTAAATGCCGAGAGATCTCTGGTTTTAAAATGATGGATAAATTAAAGAGAAAGAAATTAAGCTAATTTTTGTCAAATGACCTGCACATAATTTGAGCTTCTACAGTCAAAATATATTTACAAATTAATTTAGCAACTACAAAATATACAGATAGACACCAGTGTTCAATGAAATAAATACTCAAAACTGGATTGCAAGCTTGTATTGTTAATTGTTTTTGCTGATAAAGACAGCATAATGTATTTTGGTGGCAGAATACAATGATTTCACAATGCTTAGTCCTTATGAGAATACAAATTATAGAGTCTGAAAAGTTAGGTCATGCTCGGTTTGAAGACGTACAATAATCATACAGTGAGATTGAGACGAGTAATTTGAAATATGTTTATTTTTAAATATCTGAATTACAATATAGCTAAGAGGAGGAGTGAACGATAACATATCTAGGCCTAACACCATAAACCCAGCTTCTGACCTTTGTCTCTCCCTGACCCTAAGATCAAGGAGGCCTGATGTTTAAAGGTCAAATTAAAGAGGTAGCTTTTTTATTAGATGATTTTCTCTCATCATCAGTAGAAAAACTCTTTGACAATTTAAAGATTGTAAAAATAAATTAAAGGCAAGTTTTTAAAATGAGTTTTAGAACATGTAGACTCTGAAAGTGGCAAATATTTAAAAATGCTGAAGCAGTGATTTACCTGTCCACACTCAAAGCACACAGATTGAGTACTGTAATCCCAACAGATGCTTTCTGGAGGAATGGAACCAGTTTGCACAGGAAGAGTCCAAATGAGCTGTCATCAAATGGCCATTTTGTGACAAGCAGCTGTAAGAAAAAAAGGATTGTTCATTTCTATCATTCCTCAGCCATATGACCCACAAGCTCTAGTAGAATACATTGCATTGGGATGAATGCAATTTGGATGAATTGAACACAATTTTCTTATTTATTTGAAGCATTTATGTCTGTACATTTATTTATAAAGTTGGAATGAAATGGAGATGTTTAACCATAATTGAGGCAGTCTACATTTCTGGAATTTGCTGGTTTCTAAAACAGTTTTACTTAAATAAGTAGCAGATTTTTTTCTTTGACTCTCTGTTCCTGTCTTTGGCCTTAAGGGCACACATCTTGTCTTGATGAAATTGGTTTAGTGCAGTTTCAATGGCTACTTGTATATCGGCCCAGGCACTTCTTAGTTCGTTGTGTACTTTTGCTAGTTTTCACCTTGGAAGACTCTAGTAGTGTTAACAAAATCCTCATGTCGTGTACCCCATTTTGAAATGAAGTTTTGCGTCAGTAGAAGGTTTGTGTTTTGTTGTTTTGGACTCCTGCAAAGTCTCATCATTCAAGTGGCCTTGACAGGGTTCTTTGAAAGGGCGTTGTCTTTTGTTAAACAGGAAAAGTATGTGGATTATGCTCAGGTTTAGAAAGGAAGCTCTTCACGGGTGTATCCTGGCCCTGTTTGTATGAGGAGTGTGGAGTTTAGCACAGATGGAGTGTGTATTTGCATTTGATGTATATTGGAAGTCAGTGGTCTGGAGTGCACAGAAGTCTGTGCGTCATAAAACAAGACATGCTAACTACCGCACTTCCGTTTTAAAACATTGTTGTTGTTTGAGGTTTCGATGTTAAATGGACACCTTCCATCCTAATAGAGAAGCTCTCTGGATCTCCACCCAACATCCTGTTGAAAAGGTCCTCAAAATGAAATTTGTAAAAATTGGAAGACAAACATTCTGTGCTAAACTGTTGCACGTCGCCTCAGAGTGTTTTAACATTATAAATCAAACAGATAGACTACAGATAAGATAATTTGACCTGGGTCAATGATGCATAAGAAAGTCCAAGATAAAGAAAAAAAAAAATCTAGTTAAAAACATATGTATATACCGGTATATACAATTTTGATGAAAAGTTTCAGTATTTGACCCTAAAAATGTAATGTGGTGTATCCATCAAGTAAAAAGTGTTAAACAAAAATAAGTAAATGCATCTAAAAGTCACCCTGCCGTGAAAATCAAGTATTTAATGTTGTTTAAATGTCTATGTAGTGTTTTTAATGTGCTTTAAGACAAACCATGTGCAAATTCATGTCAACACCATTGCTAAGTATTTTCTCCTTAAAACTGCAACGAAACAAAGACAGTCTCAAAAACACGGTTTGAAATTGCCGGTGTTTCTGACTTCACAAACTACCTTGTAACCACTTCAACGTGTGATAGTCATCGAGTGAATCTCTAAGCTGCTGTGAGTGAGTGGAGGCGGGGCTAATTTGCATATTCATAGACAAGGCAAAGGTGTAGAGTTACATTCAAGCTATTTTAAGGCATGAAAATTTTTTTTTTCAAGGAAAAAAACATTTAAATGTCATTTTGGTGATCAAGCATGATTTTAAGGGATTACATTTTGACTGGGGACTTTAATCATTATATATATATATATATATAATGAATTTTAACACATTAATTGAAAAAATATGCTCTACATTGAAAAGGCCATTGTATGTCTAGAATTGCACTTTTAATGTATTTTTGAAGAAAGAAAAATAGAGCATCACATCACTGACCCATCTGCTAGAGGCCTCTGTTCACTGTCAAGTGCTGTGTTCACTGATGAGCAGAGTATTAGACAAGGGAATTTTGGCTAGTGATGAAGCATTAGTCAAAACAGGCCTGTTAATTTGGACGATGGCCCTTCAATCCTCTGTTTATTTTATCAGGCCATATCCCTGCTGTACTCATCACAAAAGCCTCAGTAACCGTAATAGGACGGCCCTGGAGATAAACTCTGAATGACCGTATAATTATAGGACCCTTGCCCTGTGCATCTATGCACCCTCCCAACTTCCTCTGCCAGCTCATTCTCCCTTCCTGTGCTCAAGTACTCTCTTTTGTATTGTACTGTATGCACTCTTAAAAATAAAGGTTCCAAAAGAGGGTTTTCAGAAATCCCATAAAATAACCGTTTTTGATTCCACAAAGAATCTTTCAGTGGACATTTCTTAAAATAACCCTTTTTTTTTTTTTTTTTTTAATGTGGAGAACAAAATGATAACCTTTTTTTCACTACAAAGAACCTTTTGTACAATGGAAACATTCCATTGAGGTTAAAGGTTCCTCGTGGAACCATAGATGCAAATAAAGAACCTTTATTTTAAGAGTGTAGGCTGGTCTTTCTGTCTGGTTTGTGAAAAAGCCCTTGAGAACTACATGATGTCATGTTTCCTGCTAATTGAAAATAATTAAGAAACAAAGGTGCCTACCTTGTAGACATTGATAGGGATGTCTATGGTGATATAGATGAGGTCTCCAAGAGCCAGGCTGGCGATGAGGGCATTGGGTCCATTTCTCATGCACTTGTTTTGGTAAATAATCCTCAGCAAGGTGGCGTTACCCACTATTCCCACCACAAACACGACACAGGAAATAATTGTGTTAATGTACTTAAAATAGAGCTTGATGGAAGTGGGATCTTTGCAGGGTGGAAGTCTGGTGTTGTTATCCAGCAGGGCCTTTTTGGTGGTGGGCTGGAGACCCTTATGCACATTGGTTTTGGAGGTAGTAGAGTTTTGAAGAAAACTGTCCTGGACTTCCTCTGTTCTATTTATCTGACATATTCCACCAGTGGCCAGGACGGCCATTAGCAAAAACAATTGTAGTGTCGTAATGCCCATTGTAGAACGCAGTTCGCTCTTTGATTTCCAGGTGATACGATCCTGATTAGTGCAGCTGCGGGAAAAGAAACAACAGGACGGACATCAAAAACACATAATGTTGTAAAGTTTGTCACAGCTCACACACACAAAATAAAGAGACATACGATGCAGGCCTCAGAATGAAACGAAATCAAAGAGAATTACTTAAAAGTATAACACTAGATGCGCAAAACTTCAACACAACTTCAAAAGGGATTTAGTGGAGGAGCACAGATGGAGAGTGCCAGTACGAGTTACTGTCATGCTATGGGGACGAGACGTTGCCTTTCCTGTCATCCCAGGCAAGTACCCATCAGTGCTGGCATGGTGCTAGTGGCACAGCACCAAGCTTTTGTTTTTTCATTTGTAATTTTAAAAATGCACCCATTGCATGGCTTTCATCACTTCGGTTTCCTCAACACATTTCCGCTCTCGTTTGCGTTTGGCATTCATTAGGGCAGTTTCCCAAACTTAAACATGAAAAAAGATGTCTTTTGGAATTTCACTATAGGAAATGTGCTAGTAATTTACAACAGCTTATTAACAATTCAGTTTCATTTCAACCTTTTTGATAACACTTTACAATAAGGTTCCATTTGTTAGATATCATGAACTAATAATACATTTAAATCATTTATTAATCTTAGTTAATGTTGATTTCATCATTTACCATTATTACATTATTAAAAGTAGTATCTGTTAATATTATTTAACAGACCTGCGCTAACAATTAAGAGTTGTATTTTTATTAACGAACATTAACAAAGATTAATACCGTGACAAATCTATTTCTCAATGATGAAGTGGTACCAAATAGTATTTTAAGATTACAGTGAAGCCATATAAATTTCATTAGATATGCTGTTTGAAAAGTATTTTTTATTCTTAAAAAGTTGCTAATCACAAAAAAAGAATCTCTTTCAAATAAGTTGTGCAGTTTTATTCATAACAAATGTAGCCTATTCGTACACAGGAATCACAAGTGAGAAAAGTTAATCAACTCTCATCTTGTTTGGAATCATTTGAAACCCCCTTTCATTATCTTGACAGCAAAGGAACACTTCTGAGCCAAGATGTGTTTCCTGTTCAAAGTCCCTGCCACCACCTGGTACACAAGGAACTATTTAGTAGACAGCCCTTCAAGTAGCATCTCAGTTTAGCATCAGCTAGGCACTAAAGAGATCCTTAACGGCACGTAAACTGTTACACTTATGAATTATAAATGCCTCCTGGTTTTTCACCTACCGCTCCTTAAATGTCTGCCTTCCCCAGGATCCCGACAGTCAATCAGTCAGTGAGTTAGTTAGACGAATATTCGACTAGAGCCCCCCAGACATCTGTGTGGTATCATATGAGTAATTAACCAACTATCAAAGTGTAGCAAGATCCCATTTGGACGCCACGACGCACCAAAGCTGCTGTGAAGGGGCTGCGCATTCTGTCTCCAGCTTTTCCTGTGGAGAGTTGCTGTGTGTGTATGTGTGTGTATGTGAGTGTTTAAGAGAGAGCACTTTGACGGGGTGGGATTGCAATTCTCCACCTCCCCCCTCGGCCGGGAGGGGGGCCCCAAAGGAAACACCAGCGCTCGGTGAGGCACAGCCTGCCTGACTGTCAACAGTCAGCCGAAGCTTGGGAAGCATCAGGAGGAATTACAAATCCTCTCCTGAGGTTTGCCCCCTTTCTCTCCCGCGATCTTTGTCGTTTTCTTTCTCTCGCCCTGACAGAGCCCCTGCCACCATGTCATAACCTTCTCCCAAATGATCAGCAGCTATATTTGCATCTGACAAACTCACCTACGAGTCCTTTGCTTTAGATGCGATACTGGCTGATATGCAGGAGGGGTTGTGTGGGACGGTGGTGGGATCGAGAGCCAAATATGCCTTGAACTTTCTATGCCTGAAATATCACAATGTGGGTGGTCAGACTCAGGGGAAACTTGATTGCTCATGTGAACATAAAAGCCCACATAAGCCTTGGGTTCAAGTCTGCCTTATACCAGCCTTACATAAATTGAAGCTATTTTGGATTCTTTTTCATTATGTGCTCTGGCAGCATGATAAGCAGTCTTTAAGAAGGTCGATTGGAACAACAAGCTCATCTAAAGCAAAGTTCCTGGCTGACTACATCACTGTCCATTATGCAACCCGAACATCTATGCCTAGTAAAATGGGCCATTATCAATATGGGGTCTAAGTGCAGCCAGGAAGGCTTATCAGTTATCAGTACTGTTAACAGGCACCTAAGCTGCAACTGCAACTGTACTTGTTTCTAATAAAACATTGACCTGAATATCATTAAAACGTACTGGTCTATGGCAATGTTTTATTTATGCCTAATGCCTCCTCGTTACTGAAGCTTTATCAAGTTGTCTTGAGATTTAGAGGTTCATTTTGTACTGTATGCAAGGGTTGATTGAACCTATCTGACAACATGTAGACTGTTCTATTGGTAAACAAAGCACTAATTTGTTTGTAGCCTTCAAATGTAACAACATAGGTTAATTAATTCAAATATGTTAATACAATCAGCTGGTATATTGTTTTCAGCACTGCCTGTCAAAGATTTTAAAACAGATTTTGGCAGATGTCAGTGCTTTAAGCATAAGAAGTATATTATGCTCACCAAGGGATCATTTATTTGATCAAAAATACAGTAACAACAGTGATATTACTAATTAAATTAAATGTTTGCTATTTTAATATATATAATATAATGAATGTAAAGCTGAATTTTCAGCATCATTACTCCAGTCTTCAGTGTCACATGATCCTCCAGAAATCATTCTAATATACTGATTTTGTGCTAAATTTTTATTATTATTATTATCATAAAAATGGTTCTGCTGCTTAATATTTCTTTGGAAATCATGATATATTCAGCATTCTTTGATGAATAGAAAATTAAAACGAGCTCAAAACAGTATTTATTCAAATTTCTTGTAATGTAAAAGTTTTTTCTTTCTTTAAAAAAAAAAGAACTTACTGACCCCAAACTTTTGAACATTAGGCTATATTTATGTTATATCTTATAGTATATTATATTATATCTGTGATTCCTCGCAAGTTTCATATTTTCTTTTGTTTAGTTTTTTTCCCCTTTATTTCATTTCTGGTCTACTGGTCTATTCTAGCATTGACCGTATAGCAGCAGTAGTCTATCTGTCCTAATCAACAATGTATAAAGACAAAAAAAAAAAAAAAAAGACTGCATGTTACTTTAACTTTTAAAAGTAAAAATCCCAAATAGTTATCATTTGTCCATCTAACTCATATTCTCATCACGTTTCAACATGGCCAGATGCCATGGGCAGTGTAATTCCCCCTTTCATTCCATTTGTACGTGCATCTTTTAATTGGAGTGTTCATTTGCAGCTAATCAGCCTGCTTAGTATTAATTGTGACTTAATTGGGTAATACTAATATTTATTGCCATTCAATTTTAAAACGATTGTGTTTTCTTTAATTGTAGGCATGAATTCATAATAGCTCTTGAATAAGTCATGGTCAACAGTGGCATATATTTTATTAATCGTTACGTGATTTGCTGACAGGATCCTTTTTCACAGAGTCCCTCAAGTCTGCCGGTAGTTTCAATGGTGTCACAACTTTTGGGGGAAAGGGAGAGAGAGATAGAACGAGAGTATGTGTGTGAGAGAGAGAGAGAGAGAGAGTTGAGTTTGGAGTCTTTGTTAATCAAGACATTAATATATAAAATGATGAAACCTTTACCTGGTCCCAGTTGTTTTGGGCTTTCATGTTGTTGTGCTGTTGTTGTTTGGGCTCTTCATCTGGTATTAATGGCATTCTGTCTGAACTCAAAGATGGCAGGCTGCCTGGTAATTCATATGCTTGTTCTCTGATGGCATCTGTGAAAATGTGCTCCGTGCATATTGGTACATACCCTGTGGGAGGGAGCAGGAGCTCAAACCTCTGACTGAGTGGGATGTACGCGGTTTCATAACTGGGGCATTTGCACCAAAAACAAAAGAGAGAGGGAGGGAGGAAGAAAGATTGGGAAAGAAGGCCAATTTGATTTTCTTATCTGGTGACTGTGATTGACATTCTGACACAGATGATGGTACTGGACTGAAGAACCAGTGGCGAATAGTTTGTGTTAAAGTACTGAAGATATTAGAATATTGTAATGAATCATATGAAACAATTAGCACACACACACACACACACACACAGTGTGACACACACACGCAAATTGTGAATGTCGAACTTCTGTTTTCTATACAAGCAGAGTGGATTTAAACTTCTAAGCTCCAATAAAATATCACAATGGTAGTCCAAATGTGTGCTGTATTCGTCATTGTTGAGCCATTGTTCACCTTCATCTCTGCCATTCTAGTTGCGTCTAATTTCAATCATGCTCTGTTGCAATCAGTCATGTGACATGAAAGAACCAGTGTCAAACCTCATGGCACCTTTTTTTTTTAAACATAGACTTAAAGTATGTTTCTCACATAAACTTATCATATGACTTCAGTAGAGATAGAATACTCTGAACATCTGAAGGTTAAATAAAATATAAGGGTTAGATCAGAGATAGCTTACAATTTCAGGTTACCACTTTCACTGATAGACTATACTTTTATGTACTTCAAAAGTGATTTTTTGCTATTTTTGGAGTTGGAAAAAATATAGAAATGTATATAAATGGCATAACTCACTACCTGAGCGTCTATTTTTCATGCAATATTTTGCTGAACGCCTCTCCTTGTGTTTCTCAATAAAGAAAACAAAAGAAAAGAATAAAAACACGGAACAGCATGAAAGTGAGTGAATTATGATGCAGTTTTCTTTCTTTTTTTTGTGGAACTATTCCTTTAGACTGCCCAGCATCTGTGGACAGCAGAGAATTATTTACACTGTCAGATTTCTTCTTAAGTTACAAAAAGTATTAGTTAGGCAACATTTGCAGTCTCCACCATCATCACTTTGTCCATGCAATCTACTTTTGCTGTAAAGAAAGGATGATTTATGAATGATCTGGAAAAGTGTTCACATTAGTCATTTCACTGCGACACCAGAAGGTCTAAGGTCATGAGAAGTGCTCCTACAGTATTATCTGTTTGACAGCACAGACAGACAGTTATGCTCTAGAGATTATGCTACTGCGGTTAAAATAAGCACGTTTTAAAAACTTTTGATGAGCTGAGAAGTTAAATCCTTTTAGATGATGGTTAATTGTCAAGCTTGTTTGCAATCTTTGAAAATGGTTTGTGGTTAATACAATAATATAATGTATAATAATTCAACAGCATAATAACTAGATTTTTTCTTGCTTATAGGTCAGCTACACACTATTAATAGTCAACAGGTGGGCATAAAAATCAAGAAAATACTATGCTCTGTCATAAATTGTAGTTTTCATGTTGTGTTGCTGGCCAAACTGAAACTCTACAGACATAGAGAGGGATAGCATGAGTCTAAGAAAAGTCAGTGAGGCTTGAGACACATTCCTGAAGAACCCCTTGCCTAATCTGCCTTTTGTCAGACATGTTCATTGCGAGAAGCGATAAGGTCTGAGCACACGTCTATATCTGGGACATGCTTGCTGCGTAAGCTCTTAAATAAACCCTTGGGGGACGTCTAGGACTTAATAACCGCTCATCCTCCAGGAAACTCTTTCTAAATTTCTATTTAGCATGACATAAGCACGTTTGCCGAAAGTTTGGAAAACAGAAGCTTTTCATTTTGTTTATAATGAAAATTCAAAACAGTCTAGAGAGAGAGAAAGAATGAATTATTAGAAAGGTGGAACATAGCAAAGCATTGAAACGCATCACTCCTCCTTCTGTGCCAGGAGAGGCTTTATTTATTTTGCAGATAAATAAATTAGAGACTAGATTACTTGATTTTGTCCAGTTGTTGAAGACAACACAAAGTAAAACACACAAATACACACACACCAAAAAAACAGAGACAGAGTGTAACATGCACAAAGATATATCATTTACAGACTTTCCAATGAGTTAACGGCGACTTGGGTTTATTGATTGATCGGTTATAAGTCCCCACAAGGAAATGTTTACACATAATACATTACATGATGTACATAACCTTAAAATTAAATAAAATAAACATATTAATAAATTAAAGTTAAAAGGTTATCTACAATGACTGGATACACAAAAAATTATTATAAAAAACAAAAACAAATAAAGTTTTATTCAGCAAGGATGCATTAAATTGATCAAAAGTGAAATTTGTAATTTCTATTTCAAATAAATGCTGTTCTTTTGAACTTTCTATTCATCAAATCATGGTTTCGACAAAAATCTGCATATTAGAATGATTTCTGAAGCATTATGTGAACTGAAGACTGGAGTAATGATGCTGGACATTCAGATTTTTCATCACAGGAATACATTTCATTTTAAAATATATTCAAATAGAAATAAGTTATTTTAAATTGTAATAATATTTCACAATATTGCTGTTTTTACTGTATTTTTAATCGGATAAATACAGCTTCAGTGAGCATAAGAAGTGAGC